AAATGTTCTTTTTTCACTTTTTTGCTGAGAGTTGGATGAGATGACTGACACCAAAGATGAAGCTCGAAACAGAAAGTGGTTAACTAATCCAGTGCTTTTAAAAGATTCTTTCGATAACGGAAAAAAAAATCATTTTAGGTAATTTATTTTTTTCTCTTTTTATTTAGCTAACCTTCTTTATACACCTTATTGATAAACACTTAACAGCTGCAGTCACAATGCAGTTAGCTTAGCTACAATTAGCATAAAGACAAAGAGAAAAACCAGTGTACCAAAGCTGATTTGATCAACAACAAGGTAAAATATTATAAAATATTATTTTAGGGGCAGTTGTGGTGGAGCTTCCTGTTAAAAGCTTATTGGGGTGTAAGCAGGTACTTCAAGCATATTCCCTCAAAGCACAAACTATTGACATTTAATTTATGTCAAATTAAAATTTGATTGGTAGGTCTAATTCTTTCATCATAGACAGAGCCAGGCAAGCGCTCAAATATTTTATGCTAAGCTAGGCTAAAGACATCCAAATTCCCTCTTAGAGAGAAGTGAAATTAGAATATTCCACAAATTACTGAATTGTACCCGTAAGTGAATTAACAAGAATATATGTTTAAATATATTTCTATAACCAATTTTTAACACCTGCCTTGATTCACTTTTTTTTTTTTTCACTTTTCAGTATGGGAAGGGTCTGACAAGGCTCGGAGAACAGTTCTGTGTCGGTCAATCATTGAGAGACTCCTTTATCATTTCATCACTGTCTTTTTCTATGTGAAAAACTGAATGCCACAGATGCAACAGAATGGAAAATGAAGCGGTAACATTGCCTTCAAAGCACTTCCTCTGCCTCGCCCAAGTCTTTTCATCTTTTACCCCAACAAGTGGTGAAGCAGAAAACAAGAAGCTAAGAAGCAAAAGCACCAGAGTGAGTCTTATCCCACCATTACGAAACATATCTTTTTCTTTTTACACCCTTTCAAAGTTATCAACATAGCTTAATAAGCTTCATTATTCTTTCCGGATCTCAAAAATTATCTTTACAAGCTCTTAACAAAGAACCAATGAGTAAGTGAATTGCTGTCAAACATCTTCAGAATGTCTTTAAATTGAACAAAATGTGTTGATGAATGCCTGTACATGGAAGTAATGTCTCGATTTCAGCATTCATCAGCCATGCAAAACTAAATGACTTCCTAGTTTTTTAAAAGACTGAAACTGAATGCTGAAATCCTTTTTGTGGAAGTACTGAGAAGCAGATGGATCAAAGTTAATCTCTTGTCATGGACTTCCTCTCCTGATGTGGATGACGAAAGCTTCGGTCTGCTGTTTTTTTTACCCTGTGTAGATCAGTGGTTCAAGTATGGAAGCACATACAGTACGTCTCACTCCGTCCAAACACATTCATGCTGTCAGATGAAACATGGCGTTTTAGTTGGAGCTGCATTTTTTAAAGGGTTTCTTTAAACATCCTAATCCCTCAAAGGTAATGTGGTTTTGTTGGAGTCAAGAGCTTTCACTTGACAGCGGCAGAATGTGTTTGGCTTGGTGGCTATAAAATGTCACTGATGCTAAGTTTGCCTTATAACTTCAACTAAATATTAGTACAAATGTGTTGTGTCAGATGTAGGGAAAATATGATGTTAATTGTTATTTAGTTATAGCTGGGAAATAGCATTCAAATGATTAATCCTCAGCAACCTCAATATTAGCACGTCAGTTTAGTAATCACCTCATGTGCGCTAGCTAACATGATGAGGAAAGTAGCTACTAATGCCTCGCTGTGACATTATTTTGATAATTGCTCTTTTCAAAACCAAATTTTTGTTTTCCATTTTCCTTTTAAGCATGCGGCTTTGATTGGAGGGACTGCTGCTCAAAAGACACAATCCAAAGGGTATAAAGAGAAAACGTACAGAGTGAGGGCCAAACACACTAAATGAATTTCATTCTGTGTACCAGCTGGGCCTGAACAATATCACTGGGTTATGCTAATTAGTCTGCCTCGTGCTTTTTCATCACAAAAGGTACCTCAACAACAGAAAGTCCTGACATTGATGTCATGTGGGTTAATTCTGTGGGCAGCCTTTACTGCTTGAATGGAGAAAAATGAAAGAATCCTGCTACTACACACTATTATAATAATTAATAATAACAGCATAATGGCAGCAGAAAATAACCTTGTACTGATTTGATTTATAATCTATTGTGGGTTTTGATTTTGTCATTGCACTAAATTACAATCAAATATTTTGTCTCTCCCTCTCTTCATGTGCTGCTGTTGCTAATTTATTTTTACTTCTTTCTGTTGTTATTTTCCTTTTCCGATTGTTTAATGGGAGACAAACTTGCCACAACTTCCTCTGATAAGTTTTAAAGTCTGAACCATCCAAAAAAGTAAATTAACCATAACATGATTCAGTTTGATGTGGACCCAGGCAACTTCTTTTGTTTGGTCTGTCTCCTCGATCAAAACCAAAGAGAATTCTCAATCGTGATATTTGGGTTCAGACCAACCTGCAAAGTTCTAAGGTCCAAACCAAACAAAGCAGGTGTGGAAGCATCCTTTGTTTACTGGCTGCTGTTTTCTTTGGAACAAAGAAAATAATGTTATATTGCCAGTACAACTTGTGTGGGGTGCAGATATAGAAACAATTATTTCAGCTCAATTACATGAACTGCTAACTTAGTTTAGCAATCAAAACACATGCTGCCTACTGTACTTATTATTATAATTACTATTAAAAAACAATTAGTTTTCCCAGCTGGCATTTTAAATTAGTTTAAAATCAGTAGGCCTATCTATTCCAGCAATGGTTAATTTGAGACAATGTAAAATGAAAACAGGAGGTGTGAGGAAGTCTTAAGCAGATAGATTACAACTGTGTTGGAAAGTATACCTGAGAGTTTCCTCTGCTGTGTTGGATTGTACTGAAGAGCAGCACTCACTGCAGTCATAAGGATCTATTACAAGATAGAAAGACCAGAGTAAGTCAGTAATAACTGCCATCTCTCACTTTGCTCTCTTCAGACCGTCTTAGTGTAGGTGGGGAAGATAACTCAAAGGGTGCAGTTTTAAATAAACCTGGCAGGCCTGTTCGCAGCAGCCCAGGCACCCCCCCAGGTATCTGCTCTATGTTATTCAAACTGGGATGAGTGCTCTGAGGTTCATTGATTAAAGAGTCGATTCCATTCTACCACTGGAAATAAAACAGAGGGAAGCACTGTGGAGCAGTACAGAAAAGAAAAGCTAAATCCATACTACCCCATTTCATTTGAAAACGGCATGTTCAAACAAAAACGATCATCTCTCCACACAAGCGTTTTGGCTGCGGATAAGTTTTAATTCCTGTTCACACTAACACGCCGAAAAACGCTTTTCACATTAACACTCATGACCCCTGGACATGCGCGTGTCGGTGTAAACAGGAATTGTTCAAACACTAGCTCCTCCCCTTCGCATGCATCACTTGTATTATTGTTAAATGAAGAATTCAACTTCATAACAGCTGTTAGTAAAGACAACAGGGTCAGCAACACTCGTAATTGATTATCCATGTTGCGTCCTACGCTGGTAGCCGAGGCCAATGTCGGTTGCTTTTTCGTCTGGGTGGCGGTCATGTGACAGGTACCTGACGAATCAGCGAAGGCTACGATGTGACCCAATCAGGTTGGGTGATGGTTGCGAATGTTTACATCATTGTTTCCAAACATTTCCATTTCTGCGAGTCCTGACTGAAATGCAACAAGAAAAAACTACAACTCCAGAGGAGTGTGGACGGCAGCCGTATGTGTGGCAGAGTTGATGTGTTTTCAAATAAAAACATAGTAATGTGGATGTAGCCAAAATCATTTTGAGGCATTTGTTGTAAAAAGAGCATCTGATGGAACTCAACCTGATTCATCATCACCTATTTTCTCCGTTATTACAAGAAACAAACATTGATAAGTAGTTGAATTCATCTGATCTGGTTGTAAATGAGTCTGATCTGCTTCTCACTGGATGAATGACAACAAACTGCTTATGACATTACCCCTGTGTGTTTAACGTCTGTCAATCTTATTTTTAACACTTACTGTCATAGGAGAAAGGAATGTCTTGTTCATGTACGCATGTTTTTAGAAGCGCTGCAAGTTTATGGGGAGCAGCGCGTACTTCACTTTTTTTTAATACCCCTGTAAAACCACAGAATGAAAAAAGGCCTTCAACTGGTACAAAAACACTAACATGAATCAAGCTACATTTCATTATCGCTTCATAAACCACATTCACATTTCAAAAATGGAGCCTTGAGCTTTTACCGTATTCACTGCAGACTAAGAAAAAAAATACAAGCCAAAATTCGACAACACTGTTTCACTTTCTTTTGAGTCACACCAAAAACTAGCCTTCATGTCAGATGGCACATCTAATAAAATGTCTTAGACAAGAGGGAAAGGCTATAAAACAAGATCAAGAAGTTGCAGAGCGCAGTGTGCCACAATTCAACCTAGACGGCTGCCCAATTCCTCCGGTGGTCTGGCCTCCACAGAAATGACTCCATCTAAATCAGCTGTATTTGGTTTCTTCAAAACAAACACAAGAGCATTGTAGGTCGGTCCGCTCACAGGCAACTTCCAGACACCATTTGTCCTTTCACTACCTTTAGAGCCAAAGATGTAGCACACAACTACCCAAAGACCTCATGAAATATAGAAAGTGTCTGTAATTATATATATGTATATCTTTGCCAGTTACCTATTTTTTAAACTCTCACTTTCAGACGGTAAGCATGGCAACATTTTCATGATAGCACATTTCATCTAACGAAAAGAAGTCTCTTTGCACTAAACAACATTCAAAGGAAAACATGGCACAGGACATTTTTTTTCCTCATAATTTTTCATCTCGGAAATATCAAATCCTCTTGTCAAACTTATCTTTTGTACATTAAAATGGAAAAAGAAATCAAATTATCATTTGTTTTAAAAACAAAAGGTTTGTATTTATATATCCATATATATATATTCATATATCCTCTTCTCTCTTTTGATTTAGCTTTGTTGTGCAAATTCAGCAGTAACACAAGTGGCACAGCACTAGGGAGAGTAGGCAGTTGAGGGAGCAACGGAATCGAATACAATAACAAATCAAAAGCAGAGTGGTGAAACTGAGGATGTCCTTTGTTAGAGATCTTGATGATAGAGAGTCAGTACTGGAGGAAGAGTCTCCCTGCAAAGTCCTTCCTCGTGGTTGCTCTGCGGTGGCAGCCAAGTGTCCGCCCTGCTGAAGTGTCTTTGAGCAACACACTGGATTTCTACCAGTTCCATGGCTGCTGCTCTGTAGCTGTCCCTGACCACTGACCTCCCCATGGAGGACAGCAACAGAAAAGAGAAAGGGATCAAGTATTGGGATATCACATCCTGGATTTTTATTGGCCCACAGTTTGAACCGTAGCTTTGGCTGTGGAAAGCTACTCGCTGGTTTCTTGTACCTTTCACCCTGCAGTGTTTCAGCTCTGCAACCAGCTCCATGAGTTCCTGTTCGCCACTGTGCATGTACTGCTCCTGATTGTAGCCAAAGTACCCAGCTGCTGCTTCTGTAGGACTCTCCATGGGATGAGGGGCCTTGATTAAAATGAACTCTCTCCTGAGCTGAGGACCATATCTGCTGAGGCTGTCGGTGCGTTTGATTTGGTTGTTCAGGGCTGGGTTGTTGGCTCAGAAAAAAAACAAAAAAACAAAACAGAAAAGAATACACCAACCCAACCGGCGGGGCCTTAGTTCCAAACTCTGCTATCTCTCCAGTGTGCTGCTGCTGCTGGGTGCTTGTGTCCTGGCAGTCTTTTCTGCTGCACTTGTTTGTTGTTGTTTACGAGGGCGACAGCAAGAGACTTCTAACATCGAGGGTCTAAATGTCGCGGGGCATCAACGGTTGTCAGGGAAGGTGTGTTGTTGGTTGGCCAGTTCTCTGCTAGCCCAGTAGCGCAATTGGCTGGTCCTCAGCTGGCCAGAGCCATGGTGTCGATCACCTGCTCCAGCTTTCCGCGTAGCCGCTGTCTGCGCGACTGTTCGTCCTTCTGCAACGCTGAAAGGATCTGGACACCAACATGGAGAAGCATGATCAATTCTTCATATCTTGGTGCATGCAGCAAACTCATTAACACAAATGTGGCTAATGTCAGAGTCTCTGTTAGTGATTGCATTTTAGACGGATGCTGGCGACATGGACGTGGTTAGGGGGGCAAGTGTCTGGCTGAGTGGGATGTCCGCAGCTGCATGTTCAAGGACACTTGGAGAGTGTGTTTGTGTGTGTGAGTGTTGGTATTTTATTATGTAAGCCTTGAACAGGGCAGAGAGGAGCTGGTGCAAAAAGACTGTATTTATGTGTGCATTTGTCCTCTTACTGATGTGTGTGTATCAGCATGCATATTTGAGCATGTACATTCATGCACGCGCTTGTTTGTATGTGCACGTGAGGTCAGGGCATGTGTCGGAGGCGACTGCGATAGTGCAGCTGCCTATATCTGGATAATAATAGGCTGTAATGAAGGGGAGCATTTTGTTTGAATGGAGCATAACCACTGTAATACTGCTGCTACAGAGGGACGGAGGGGAGGGAGAGAGGAGGGGAGGGAGGGGGAGAGGCTGAGACAACTTATCGGTCACCACATAAAAGCGCGATAAAGCTGGGGAAGGCGGAGGTTGCAAAGGACACAGGGCTGTCCATCAGAAGCGGGAGGAGGGTGAAAGAGGAGTGAGGGTGGTATGAACCGCAGTGACTCATGGGAGGGGAAAATAAAGGGATAGAGAGGATGGAGGATAATGAGGCAGGGAAGGAAAGAAGGAGGGATAAGGAGATGGAGGAAAGATTAAATAGCTACGAGGGTGGGGGTGTGAGGGGGCTCTTTCAGTCATTTAAGTCTTAATGGGTTGGACGAGGGGGCATGGAACAGATTTAAGGCTAAATTATCAGTCCACTTAAAATAGGACATTTAGCGTGCACACACTCACATGCACACACACGTTCAGCAGAAGCAAGTAACACACACATTATTTGACTAATTAATCCTGCCTTCTTTTCTGCTTGGAAACACATGAGCAACAGACAGCTTGATCACATTTAGCAAAAATAGTTCAATATTTGTCAAATACTCATTTGCTTTGTTGCCCAAAGTTAGATGAAGTCATATATTTATTTTCTTCTCTCTTTATTCTTTATTCAACAGCTTGGTCTTTCAGTTTCAGTTTTTTGGGTTGTTAGGACGTGTTGTTTTCACGTTCAGATTTTGTAATGCTTTCACTCAAAACCTTGCGCTCACACTCAAATATACCCTGCTCGTGCTTAGATTTGCTGCGCTCCAGCTTCAGCTCTTCTCTACACGCTGCTTCTATGCTCGTGTGAAACATCTGCTCTATGATTTTTTGGTGCAGTGAATGTATCAAAACTCCCCAACCAATAGAATGCCAGGTGTAGTGTTGACAAGTGAAATTGTCCCTCCCTTGTTGTGGATATTAGGTTTCTGTCTTTGAGTGTGTTTGATTACTTGACCAGGTTCGTGAGCTACTGCTCTCCAAAAGTTTCTTTCATCATAACTACATCTGGCATTTTTTTGGTTGGCTGATTTGAGAGAGTTGTTGCACAGAAAAATCAGAGAGCGGAGGTTACACTGACGCACGAAAGAAGCATGTGGACAAAAGCTGAAGCTGGCAGCAAATCTAAGCACAAGCAGGGTATATTGGAGTGCGAGCACAGGGTTTTGAGTGAGAGCATTAAAAAAATCAAAAAATTAATTCAGTCCTGCTCTCAGACTGCAAGACAACACTCGAATAAAGAATCAAAAACATTTTTTCACCCTTGTGTCTGTGTGTGTTTGTGTGTGTGTGTGTGTGTGTGTGTATACACTACATTTTGAAGCCATTGCAGGCAGATGGTGAGTTTGTCTGAGCACAGACTAGAAACAGGGTGAAGACCCTCGGCCTGACTTGTGTCTAAAGGTAACACAAAAAAATCTACCTACTGGCGCTTCTAAAGCTCACTAATTAACATGTCATATCTTGTTTCCTTAATCCCTACAAAAGCCTCAAATTTAGAGTACAGAGAGGAGAGTGGTGGGTTTGATCTTCTTCAGCAAGACAGCATATTAGCATATGTCAAAAAAATGTCAAACTGTTCCTTTATCAGATAAACCACACACTTTGTGCAGAAATGTTGAGTTTTAATCAGCCGGCAGCAGCTGTGGGACATTGTACATGTCGGGGGGGAAAATGAAAACCACATTAATTTAATGTGGCTCCGTTAGGTCTGTAATGTGTTGAGCTCATGCCTTAATGTACATCCTAATGGTGATAATACCTTCCAGCCTGTACCACTGGTTATCAGTGTAATTGAATTAAAATGACCTCATGGTATTAGTCAAGGCAAGTGAGGAGGGAAGGGTGGGGGGTTTGAATCGACGGAGCTCACCTCATCCTTGTATTTGATGATGTAGGAGTAGATCTCATGCAGCGCAGACATGCTGTTGAACTGGCTGAGGTGCAGGCGGGACTGCTCTGCTAGGTAGGCACTCATGTCCTGGTCGCTGATGGCCGGCATGCGGGAGATGTCAGAGTAATACCTGGAGGAGAAATAGGGTTTAAAGAAAACATCTATTGTACAATCCAAAAGCTTATACACTTATTTTATTCAAACAGACTCTGAACATGAGTCTCCTGGTCAGCCACAATTGCTTTTTGTTAATTATTTGAAGCAGTGGGCGGTTTCCAGATGGGTTCTCTGTAGACCTCTTCATCTATTGTGGTAGAAAGGTTTGGACTGGGTTCAGACAAGTTTGGCAGAAAGATTGTACCATAAAAGGTGCAGCTGCCTTTTACAAAAGTAAAAGTATTAAACAAATCTGTTAAATTCTGTCAATTTGCCATTAGCCGCTGCCTGAAAAGTTCCCCATAATTTCCTGGTTCCGTGTCTGCTGAGATTTTTGTACGCGAACCAGTTATACATGCATGCCCTCGTTTGCATTTATACTAAAATGAGAGTTCACATTGTTGTGGCGTTCCAGTGCTGCATACCTGATCCCACATTGGATTCCATTCTATTCTAGTAGGTAGCGGTAATCTGCTATAATGTCGACCCCCATTTATATATATTTATTCAAAAAGACTCCTGTACTGGAAAATGTTGAACAACTATTGGACCTGGAGCATGTGAACATAGAGTCAGCGTGGTCACAAATTTTGGGCTGCATGCGGACAAGGGGTCCGTGCGTATGCTAGCATGGGTGGACATGAGACGACATTAACATCAGGAGGACCATAGCAGACCCCAGCAGATTGTCAGACATGGGAATTAGATATTCACTTTAAAGAAGTCAGGTGTCTGTTATTTTTCCTTCTGCATTTCCCCCATTTTCTATTATTTTGAGCTTTAAAAAAATAACAAAATACAGAAGGTGTTGCTTTACGCATAAAAACTGGATTTGATTTACTTATTTATGTACAGTCCCTCATATTGAGTGTTGACTTGCACCAACTGAGGTCCACTCTGTCTGAGCAACAACCTTCACATTATTGACTCAGTGTTGTTGGCTGCAGCAGAGGAGCAAAAACTCCAGTAAATATGTAGCAGGCAGTGAATAGCACAGTATATTAAGAATATATATCAATATTGAGTTGCACCTGAACCTGCCTGCAGGATCCATATCTAAACTATCTCAAGGTTTACTGCAGCAGGGCAGTCCGAGGTTGAGAGTGGGTTAGGAGGCATGAGCGAAACGAGGTTTAACTGCACCCAATTAACCCTCTCCTATAAATCCCTATCTCTGCCTCCAAATGCTCTGTGAAAGCCTCAGGACTTACTGTAGCACACTCAAGCCTGTTGTTGTCCAAGTGTATGAGTGCTGCAGCGGCAAGAGGAGAAGGGCAATGCACTTTGGATATGTCATTTAGTTTTGAGGCAACACTTGTTTTATACATAATTATCCCCTTTGGCAGATGATGTTTTTTGCACTGCGAGCATTATATTTTAGAAATTTCAGGGTCAGAATAATCAGAATATGTATTTGAAGACCCTGCAAAGTAAATTACCAAAGAGTGAAGGGAGTAGCAGTCCAGAGGAGTTACTGAAAGGTCCAGTGTGTAAGATATAGGTGAAGGGGATCTATTGACTGAAATGGAATAAAAATTAGTCCTAGCAATGTTCTCACTGGTGTGTTTCATCTTAATTGTACAAATTGTTGTTTCTTTATCTGAGAATTGCCCCTTTATATTTAAATACTTCATATTTACATCGAGGGGGTCCTCTCTACAGAGGCCGCCATGTTTTTTACAGTCGCCCAGACTGGACAAACTAAAACCTTTTGAGGTTTTATAAAACCTGAAGGCTGCCACAGGTTCTATTTCATGTTTGGAAGGGGAGGGTAAGGTGAGTGGTATTTGGCTGCAACATGCAAATTCACCACCAATTTCCTAGTTTCAAGTCTAATATGAACGTTGGGGCTTGCGGACACAAGCAGTATGGAGGCATGTTATGTTTTACATCTGAAGAAGGACTCACTATTGACTTGAATGGTGTTGAAATCTGCTTTAACAAAGTGTTTTGTGGATTTAAACACGATGAATTAACTTTTATTTTTAGGTGAACTATCCCTTTAAGCTAAACATCCTGGTGCTGAATAAGATGTGCAGCAGAGGACATTTTTCAGCGTGCCTCTGTTTGGAGAGAGAGGGCGAACAGCTGTTACAAATCCTTTTTTCACCCGCATGTTTCCTTTCTAAACTTGATTCTTCACAGGAGAAGTGGATTTTGTCTTGGATCTGAATTCACAGGGTCAAGTTGAAAATGTCACAGGCAGAACTAATACATTGTGTGTGAACTTCACTGATTAGACATTAACTCTGGTAACTGGTTCTACTGTTGTGTCTATAGGTGTACATTTTATTTTTCGAAGCCGAGGGCAAGAATGCACATAATTGCTTTACACTAATTTAACCCAGCTCCGATCTTCGAATTCTAGAACCATAAACAGTTCAACCTGTATTTTTTCGTGTAACAGTTATTAATTCTTCACCTTCCACAAATCCCTCCATTACCAGGCTCCCTCATATGCTCCACCACCACCACCTCCCTCCTCCAGCCTCCGCTCCTCTGATGCCAACCTCCTGTCACCTCCACTCAGGACCAAGCACCAGACCTGGGGCGACAGAGGCTTTTCCGTAGCTGCTCTCTCCCTCTGGAACTCACTCTTCAAACCATTCAGAGTCTGCACTGACCTGCCAAACTCTTCCGCGTTTATTTGCTTTTATTTGCTCTCTCTGCTTTTAACCTTAATGTAAAATATCTTGGAGCATTAATAAAAGAGAAATATAAATATACTGTACTATTATGATTATTATTATTATTCCACCAGCTCATAAGTACAACAGAGTATTCATCGAGTTTTCAGGATGTTCTTTGAATATTACCCATGTAATCAATGAGACCTGTTTATTAAAACCACTTCCAAACATCTCCTCATTTAAGTAATGCAGGTAACAGGCTGATCATCTGATCTTCTTTTAAAATGATATTAAATCTAAAATTATGACTTTATTCTCATAATGTTTTAAAAAAAAAAATCCTAATTCTTAAACTTTTGTCTTTTGTCTCAACTTGATCTGCATGTCAGTTTCTCTGTGTTAAACTCACCTTTCCACCCAGTTCTTGTAGTTGGGGATGTCTTTAGCGTAGAGAAGCTTATTTGAAGGTGAATCTTTTCCCAGTTTGTGTTCTGATGTTGAACAGGAGTCCATGAATGTCTGGGCCACCACAGACAGACAGGCATCCGTGATGCTGTTCTTGTGAATGTCAAACACAAACTGGGGGTTTTTGATCACGTTCACCCAGAAACGCAGAGGAAGACTGCAGAGGGTAAACAAACACAAATTCAATTACAAGAATTATATTATAAATGGTAATAGCCTCTTTATGCCCCTGGTGACAGGTATTTTACTTACTTTGCTTTCATTGTTGGAATTACACTACCTAGTTTTAATATCTGATCAGTGTATTGTGTACATTTAAGCCTTTCGTTTGTTTTAATCTCACTCAATAGGTGCCATGATCCCAGATGATGTGTGTTGTCTGGTCGGAAATGCATAATTTTATAATTTATCCTCTAAATGCTTTGCAAAAACTGTTCATTAAATAAATGGAAATACATAATGTATGGAAAATATTGCAGCACCAGTCCAAAGATGTTCTGAAGCCATCCATTAAATTATGACCAAGCATCCGTTACATCAGCTATTTGAATTGTTTGTGCATTTTGCAGACTTGTATTTACTGATTTAATGACTTAAAGTTTGAATAATTATTCACAGTAATATTTACTTTCCAGACATTAGCAGATGGGATGCAGAACACTATCATTACCACCACATTCTATTTCATAACACACTTATTTACAAGGCCATTTAAATACACTTTGGTCACTAATTACCACTGTCCATCAGTAATTACTAAGCCCACAGAAACACAGTGATCTTTTGTCATCTGGCTCAGAAAAACTTTGAGCCAAAAGTGTAGAACTCTGTATAACACACAAAACATTTCAATATTTGAGTGATCACTGTCTATGCTATTGGGTCCAGTATAGTGCTGTAAATGAAAATTATAAAAAATCGAAATTCCAAAGGCCAAGTTGATGAATAGTTTTGTTTTGTCCACAAAACATGTTAATTAGTCACGTAGTATCTCATATATTATGTTGAATGTATTAAATATCAAATAAAAAAAGAAAAGAAAAGCAATAAATCATCACACCCGAAAAGCTGGAAACAAATGTTTGATATTTTCACTTGAGACATTATTATTATTCGACTTAAATTTAATATATACTCTCAAGCTTTCATTACATTTTAGGTTTCCATCCAATGCTATAATTCGATGGCAATAGTTTGTTTCAATTCTTGTTAAATGTAAAAAAAGAGAGAGAGAAAACTATCTCACTAACCAGTTGCTCTTCCAAGTGTGTCGTACGTCGTAGTCATTGATGGAGTGTTTGTCGGCCTGCTCGTCCAGGAAGTCGAACATGTACTTGATGGCGAGGGGAAGCGCACTGCCTCTGTGTGCCGTGCTGAAGATGGTCTCAAACAGGTCGTCCACAAACTTCTGTAACGTACCCTGAATGGTAGAGTGGGGACAGTGAGAAAACAGGTATATTAAATTCCATTCTTTGGTTTTAATTCAAACTAGTGCAGTGTCCATTGTAAACCTGTCTGCTGTTCTCTTGTCCTGTGTCAATGCTCTGGAGCTACTTCAGAATTATTCCTTGTCATTAGAGAGTCCTCCACAAACAGTTCTACAACATACTGTCACTTTTTATATTTGTATGCTGATGTTGTGAGCAGCTTTTTTGAGCTTTTTATAGACAGCCTAAGAGGTGCAGAGTAAAAACTTTGTGTTCATCCTTCTGGTTTATTTGCAGTGAAGATACTGTCAGTGTTTTACATGAAGTAGTAGGTTAAATATGTTTTTTGAAAGGTTCCTGTAACTCTTTTTGGCACTGTATTGATAGGATTTAAACATTTCTTTTTTTATTCTTTTTTTAAATCATTTTTTTAGTTTTAGTGGAGTGAAGACCAGCTGTCACAGTATATACACCATACGTTGTGGTTATTGTTTTCCCAAATATGTGGTCAAAATGGCTGCACTGTGTCATTAATGTTTTAAATGAATACACAGAAGTATTCAGTAGGCCACCTGATTTCTTTTCTCTGACTTATTTTTACATTTGAATGATATTTACTTATTATGGAAACCTTTTTATTAGAGGATGAGAGAAGAAGAACATGTCAGTGAGACTGAAAAACAGCAGTGTGACAGAGCTGTCTTTCAGAATATAGTGAACCACTTCGAGCCACTTGTGTCCACAGCCCCTGAATGGGCCATATGTGTGTATGTTTTCCATGTGAATGGTCCCACTGTGAATCGCTGTGATAACTTAGGCTTCGTTACTGCCTCGCTCTGGCCACTGAGCTCCAACAGAATCACAAACAGGAAGCCAAGCTCCTCGACGCGGATGCTTTCCTCCAATGACAACGCTTCAACATAAATGGGACTGAATTTCCCTAACAACACATTTGTTTTCTGGACTTCTCCGGCTGGCTGAATCTATTACTGCAGAAATGTTTGGGGATCACATTTAGTCAGCCTTCGTGAAATGGAACAGGAATGAATTCTGTCCCAGTTATGGATCAAAGTGCTGAGATCTGCAGAGATGAGACATCCGGGCAGGCAGACGCAGATAGACAAGGACAAGATGAGCTACTCAATTGTATTTGCATCTCTGTTTTTTCATCATGCGTGGCCAAATCTTCAATCCCTCAACAAATTACCTGTCTCCTGACACCTCCTGTATCTGCCTCCGTGCACTCTGCACCACAAGCCCACCTTTTATTAATCTGTTTTTTCTTATTACCAGTGGAAATTGAAAATCCGACTCGCTTGTAACTGCTGCCCATTGCTCTGCCCCCCCTCGTATAATTAGGAGACAGAGAACTGAGAGACACAAGGAAAGACAGCTGAATTGTCTGTTTCTGAGACGGAGAAGATTCTACATGTGCGTTTGTGAGTGTATGTGTGCGTTACAGTTATGAGCGATAATGTCCTCAATGAGTGTCCTCACAAGGATAGAAGTACAGGTTTGTGTGTGTAAATATACACTGGGTCTATTGGTTGGCACAAATTTAAAAAAAAAGGTTAATCAAGAAAATGATATCCTCCTATTTATCACCCACCATCAATCATGTGGTAATGCATGTGATGAATGCTTCACTGGCTTCGGTTATGTTTGATAAAATGCTTTAGAACAGGTTCTCCTAAGTGTGGTTTATTGCAACCAAGTCTAATTCCATTTAAACTGAAGATCTTTACAGGCCAGTCATGTTAAGCTGTTTTCAGACATGCACTGAACTCCAGATAATCTCCTGACATTCTCCTAAGGGGCTGCATGTGAGAATGCAAACGTCACCATGTGAGGTTTGAAGAGATTGAGTTGTGTCGGCTTGATTTGAGAGAAAGAAAGAAATGCTAAGAGAATACAGCATTTGAAATAATTAGAACTAAATGTAACCATGTCTCCCCTCGGGTTCACAGCCTGTAGTTGCGCTATCACCAGAGTTTACTGTGAGCAGAAATATCTGTTCGGGTCCTTCATGAAAAGGATATAAATATTTAATTCTCTTTGAGCAGGTCGGAACAACACTAAATTGGCCCAAAGACATGTGGACACTTTTGAAATCCGTACTAACGGGTAAAGTCCAGGAGGTTTATGTTGCCTCCTGAGATGAGCCTTGATTATGAGCATGTTAACTCTGGTATTTTGCGGGCATATGAACTTGTGCCAGAGGCTTATCATCAGATGTTCCGCAAATACGGAAAACTTTGGTCTCTGACCGATGCCGTGAGAAAGAGGAATTATTTGACAGGTGGTGCTCAGCACAGGGTGTCAAATCGTTAAGTGATCTTAAAACCTTGGAGCTCTTAGGAGTTTAAAAGCTGCTTGGCTGGGAGGGTTTCCACTTACCTGAATGAGCAGAAGACTCTCAAATATTCAGATGCTGCGATGCTTGCGGATGAATAGGTTCTCACTAACAAATTTGTGTTTGGTGAAGAGGTTGCTGGGTTTAATGATAGGGGTTCGTAACGGTGCTTTGTGGCGCCAGCTCACGTCAGTGTTTCCAGTGGTGCCAAAGGGAGATCCACGAGAGAGAGCCAAGTTGGTTTTTATCGTAACAAACAGGGACATATCGTTGAAACTTTTCATGCTTTGCAGAAGGAAAGCCAGTAAGCCAGGTGGTGCGGTGGTTGGAGTTAGCCCTGGTAAAAAAATCTATGGCACAAGAGCAGCTGGCAGACAGTGTGGCATCCAGCACAGCAACTGTCACTTCTGTCACTGCCTTTGTGGAGCGTTCCAACACTGAAGGGGTTTGCCCTGCTGTACCCTTTGCTGTCCGGTGTGTGTGTGCGTCTGTGTGTGTGCGTCTGTGGGGAGGGGGGTTTGAGCGTGGGATTGCTGAGGCCAGTGTGAGCTTGTAAACTTCTCCTCCACCCTAATCCTTCTGATCAGTCCTGCAGTATGCGACGTGACTGTCTGCACTGACCACAGCTCCCTTGTGTTCCTGCAGGAAATGCTCGTCACCAATCAGTGGCTGATGCGGTGGAGTGATTTTTTTTTCCTCCTACAAGCCTTCGGTGTCTCGGTCCAACATGTCCGTGGGAGGGATGACGTTGTGTCGGATACATTGTTGCGCTTGTTATTCATTTGTATTGTGATTTCTTTTTTCATGTGTGTTTGTGTATGGTGGGGTTTTTTTTGTTATCTCCCCCTCCTTTCCTCGCTCTCAGGTGTGAGTGAGTGTGATTTCAGGAAGGCTGGAGAGGTGCTCCCTCTTTGTCTCTGTAACATCTGAGTGCCAGAAGCCTGTGTCCTCATGGTGAAGTGCTTATTGTTTGTTTCCTTTTGAGTTGGGGGTCTAGTAATCCTCTTTTCATTTTTTGTTTTATTTAGATATTGTTACTTTGGTAGATGGGGGATCTGAGGGCTATTGTGTGGTTGGTCCAGATGTTCCCATTTTTATTTTCTTTTTGTCCACACCTCTATCTGTTTATTCTTTGTTTTGTTAAACTCTTGGTTTTAATCGTGACTCTGGTGTGGCGTCCTCTTTATATGTTGCGGTCACTGTGTTGAGCCAAACTAAATTTATGAGGCTGTGGCTGTAACAAGACCCAATTGTGCTTTCATGTCTGACTACTCTGCTGGACAGCCACTCCCTTCGCTCCTTGGCAATTTGCTTTGCGGCGTGTCTTGAGACCTGGAAAAGTCCACACAATTGGTTCCGGCCTTTCTCGTGAGTGAAAACGTCTTTACTTGCTTTTCCTGTTCCAAGCTTCCAATAGTCAGAGTTTTAGTGGTGGGTTTGAGTGTCCCTCAGTAGTTCCGAGTGCTGTTTTAGAAATCAACTTAAAAAAAGCAACAACACACAGATGTGATGGTTCCTCCCCTGTGTCTTACTTTCGTAGCGAGCAGCCTGGTCAGGTAGATCTCAGAGACCATCTTGCTTCCCCGGTCGCCCTCCCTCTGGTCCGAGTGGTCGTGGTTCTTCACCAGATGCCACAGTTTGGTGCCACTCTCCAGGTCGGGCGTGATCATGGGCGTTCGGGATCGTAGGCTGTCTGGACTGCTGGCTGTCCTCAGCATACTCTCTAAATCCACACACACAAGACAGAGTGATTATATGAGCTTTATGTCAGCCTTCTTTGGAAACTGTGATGCAGTGAATGAAAAACGGATAATCTGCCTTGTTAGGGCCATTTTACCAGACCAGCAAATACCCCAAAACACACTTGGATATCTCTCCCCCACCATTTCTCTCTTCATAATCGGTGTGCTTTCATTATTCATGGTGTGGGTGTCAAAGTTGATTAGAGTGAAGCAAAGAGATGCATATCTATGACCATTCCATTAAGGGTTGAAAGAGGGGGAGGAAGGAACCAGGGAGGTGAGGTGCACAGGGGGAGATGACTATCTGCTGAGTAGCTCTTACTCCTGGGGGAAGGGGGGAATATGGAATGGATGGATGAGAGATAAAAGAGAAAAATGTTGCTGCGTGTTGCAGTCCCTTTATGTTTGGTGAAAGGACGCAGAGAGGAGGGGAGAGAGTGAATGTGGGGAGATGAAGGGGGGTGGACACAAAGACAAAACATCTGGGGGGAGAGAGGGGTGAAATGGAGAGTAATGGGGAAGCACAGGATAGAACAGTGAATGAGGCTGAGTGGGATGGTGTCTAGTGCTGTTGTTGCTCTTGCCAGCGGGATGCTGAGTGGCTCTGATGCCAAACCTATTATTGCTACTGGTGGCTGACTGCTCATCGACACACGCACGTACGCACGCACCCACACACACACACACACGAAAGCAAAAGCACACAAAGGCAATAATGAACATGGAACCAGCCATAATGTTTTCCGTGAGAACTATGGTTTTAGTGAATAGGACACCTTTAATTTTAGAAAATGAATCAACCAAAAATATATATTTCTCTTAAACTAGCACTCAAGCAGTGTAGGTGTGACACTGATGCCTGGACTGTTTTTTAAAGACACTTCCTCCCACTATCAGGAATTGAAGCCAAAATATCCCAGATGAACGCTGCAATCTGTGCAGTAGTGATCGGAGGATGGAGCCACAGTAATGAGGCCCCGCTGATACACGTACTGGACCAATCAGTCATGACATTTCAAAAAAATAATTGGACAAAATTATTTCACATATACTCTTAATTTTGGTCCATGTCCCATCCGCTAACATGAAGGAGGTGGGATTTATCAGCAATGCTGCAGCCACCAGGTGGTAATTTAGATGCCTTGGGTTCACTTCTCACCTGCTGCTACGAGAGAGAGGGAACGATAGCTATGGTGATCAAAATAATTCACTGAGCCAGAGCAGTAGAGGAACATAAAACACAGCACAGCATGCACACATACACACACTTCCTTACAGTGAAATTAATATGTATACACTATGGGAGTCCAACAACCTCATACATTAGAGGGGAGCCTAAACATACGCCAGTCTGCAGGAGCGGATTACAGCAGGAGCTTTGTTGTTCACAGCAGAAACACATTTCTTCATGCTGGTCAACAATCACACGTAGAGCTGATCTTTACGATAACGTCATGAATTTAAGAAGAGCATTACCTCTCCATTGCGTGTGTGTGTCACTCTGTCTCACTGAACTGATTGAACTCGCTGAAACACCGTCATGAATTGCATCATCCCAGTTTAACCCCAAGACAAGACCCGAACTCTGTGAGCTGACTTGAAAAGTGAATTATTCAAGCAGCAGTGGTGTAGGAATGATTAGGCCAAAGCTTCTTGATAACTTTCAGTGGTTTCCACTGTGTAAATGTCAATACCAAAGGTGGAGGTGAAAACGGCCACCTTCATATACGATGCCACTGTACAATGAGCTGCTTTCAGACATTTTCCAGAGGAACACCTATGTTGGTGCTCTGGATATTGTCCTGAACTTTTAAGCCCCCTGGTAAAAATGTCCATGTGAGAACGCAGCAGGGAAAACGTCCTGGAAATTCATGGTGATTGGCCGTGTTCATGATGTTTCTAATGCACAACAGACTAAAAACTTCAAGAAAAACATTCATACATGTAGAAGAAGCTGATGAAGATGAACCTTGGAACGACAACTAGATTAGAGAAGTTTTGGCAATGCTCTACACAGGAACCACTCCTCGAGTCTGACCTGGACAATCTTCTGCTGCATTATTCACATGTGAAAGGAAAATATCCTGAACCAGTATTCTAGAAATACCTTGCTGGAAACGGCTCAATAGGCATGGGCTGATGTTATTATTTATTTTGCTGAACACCTCTCTCTTTGTCTCTCCTGGTCTCATTGTTCTCCTGTTTTCAGGTAACACAACTATCATCAGAGTCAACTCAATATCAATGCCATGTTGAATTTCATATTACAGACGAACACAGGAAAACATTTATAAAACCTTCAACAAAACTTTTTTATTTCATTATTTTTTATCAGATGTAGTTTTAGTCCAGGTTACCTTGGGATAAAACCAGTGATGAGAGTGTAAGGATCATCACCTACTTAGTAGCAGACGAGGGTCTAGCTTTTTTTTTTAACCACAGAGCCATTTATCTTCTACATATTCACATTTTCTAGTTAAGTATACAATATTGATGCTGGGCCTCTATCTATTTATCTGACTGCCAGGTGTCCTCCTTTCTCTCCCTCTCTTCTCTTTCACTCTGTCAGCTGGGGTTCGAGGTGTCTACTTTAATGCCTGTCATTTATGGACTGCTTGGAAATAGCCATGGAATAGCCTTGGCCCGGGCTGATAGCAGTGGATAAAAAGGATTGCCATTCACTCAGAGGGAGGCAGAAAAAAAAGGAAAAGAAAGGCACCCAATCATTGCAATGAAAAACAAAGAGAAAGAGAGAATGAAAGAGCAATGGAGGGTGCAGAGGGAGGCAGTTAGGGGAATGGGAATCATAGACAGAATGATTTAAATAGGATGAGGTGAAGAGGAGAGCGCGAGCCGTACCGTATCTGCTGAGGCTCTTGGTGAAGGTGGACGAGTTGGAGATGTTGTAGGCAGAGTTCTGCTTTGGCACCAGGGCGATCACTGAGCCGTCCGTCACCTGCACAAACAACAAAATACAGTATGAGAGCGACCGAGCTCACAGCTCCTGCTTGTTACTGCCTGCAGTGCACGCCGGCACTCGTGTACCTGATAGTGAGCCAGCGTGTTGAGGCGTTTCCAGTCGTTGTCGATCTTAGTCGTGACGTCTTCGTCTTGCAGAATGATTCTGGCCATTCGACCTTGACGCCATTCTTCAGGAAGGAGGACACGGAGGTTTAGATAAACAAACGTGAGGTCTCAGTTTGTGAGCATTTGTGTGAAGGCTTAATTTGGCCTCAAAGCAAATGCAACATACAGTGTATATTGTTTTCTTAATTTCCTTTATTCCTCTGCAGCTTCTCTCAGCTCCATGAAGTCTTGAATAGGAAGCTGCTCTCAGCTCATTAATTTTGTTTTTACTTCTTTTTCCAACTTGTATTCTTTTTAGTAGTAAAGTACTAAAGGCTCAGAGCTTGTGACTATTGCTGATGAATATGTGGGGCATTTACAGAGCCACATGTTTTCCTCTGAAACTGGTGGAGACATGAACATGACTCTACATTAATGTCACACTGTGTCTGCAGGATATGTAGCTGAGCAACTGAGGATAATAAGTAAATGTTGTGTTTAGGGGTTGCTGCACTCTCCCAAAGTAGTCAAAATAAATGAATTATTTAATATGTAATAATAATAATAATGTCAACTGATTCTTGTCCACATCCAACTAACACATCACTAGCTCTGTTATGACCAAACATTAACCGGTGCAGCAAACAACATAAAATCCGTGCACACGTCTCATACATGCGTGTCCGGCACTGTGCTTCTTACCCAGGTCCATGTCAGAAGCCTTTGGCCTTTGTGAATAGGGGCTGCCCTTATACACAGCATCGAGCAGCTTCTCTTTGACCTGAGTGATGGTGTCACAGTTCAGACACTTGACCGTCACCTCGGCGGAATTCTCATTCTCTGGGTTTACACAGTGCAACGTCTGGCAGAAGAAAAAAACAAAATTCCAAGGGACAAAAGAAATAAGGTTTAAGTAAGAAGACTGCAAGAGTGCTGCTAACTAGTGAGATGTGTGCATCATTGTTTAGGAGCATTTGAATGAACATGAATTTTTACACCTAGTTTGTTTGCAGTAGCTCAGGAGTGGATCCAGGGGTGGGACCAGAGGGGCCCCTGAAGTGCCCCAATTCTGTCAGTAGTCTTTTTTTTCTTTTAATAAACTACTCACTTAGTAACAATGAGATAAACATGATAATTTGTAAGGAGTTTTTAATTTTCTAAGCTTTTTTGAAGAACACAATGTGCTGAAACGAGGAACAATTTTCAAATGATATACAATAATATGAGGCATTGCTCAAAGCTTTGGAGCTTACAGTTAGCAAGGACTTTAATGTGCATCTTACTGAATCAGGAACTGTGCGTGGACGTTGGACATGTAATGGTCCCTCTGTGTAAATTGTGGCCCCTTTATAGCCCCTGATGGTGAAATTCCTTCATTTACCACTGCAGTAGCTATTTTATCATCCGGACATTTCCTAGACTGTTTGTGAAAATAATAACTGAGAGTTCAGACTCGGTTCCAGACCAGAACAACTCGACAACAACCAGGTTTGTCTGTGTGGTTCCAATCCAAACCTGGAGTGCTTTTTTTGGACAGACAAAGTAATTAACAGAGAAAACATCCTCACTCCAAACATAACTGGGGCTGAAGCTTCTTGTTTACCCTGGACCAAATCCTGGAGCAACACTCCACATCGATTTAGAGAAAAAGAGGCTCTGTCGTTTCTTACTGCTGATTACTTCCAGTTTGGTTTTAAAATCTTCATCTTTGTCAAATGTGACTGAAACTTAACAAGTCGTGCAGTGATTCAGATCAGTAAGGACAGCCGCAGAACCCTGGAGACACAGTGAGTTTACTGACCAGTGTTTTGTAGTCAATCTGCTGCCTGATGAGCTTGTCCTCACTGAGGGAGTAGCGGGCTTCTCCTGTGATGGCGTCGATGGGTCCCTTCTCCATCTGCTGCTTGATGGCACAGTAAAGCATGAACAGAGGCTCCCCAGCACACTCCTGCAGAGAGAGGGGGGGAACAGAAGAGGAGGAGTTTCCAACAGTTCAACAAACAATGGTTCTTCCTTTTTAATGTCTCTTATTTGAATAGCTAGTTCAGTACCTGTTCTAAATCTGCCTGATTTGAATGGGCTGTTTGCTTGGTCTGTGGAAATGCTGGTTGCAGTTTTCTTTCTCAGAAAAATGTTTAAAGTAGAACTGTTTAGCAATTTAGGTTATAAAAAAGAATAAATGAAATAGAAATAGTAGAGATAGATATATTCAGATATCCAGTAGCTCACATAAAAGACAAAGAACCACAAATAAGGCAGACACAGGTAAGAAAAACATCTGATTGATAGAAGAATAAATAAAAAGAACATCCTGAATAGATCATCCTGAAAATGTGTTTTTATTAATTCATGCCTCATCTCATCTCATGACCCTCTGGTTGGAGAAATATCATAAAGATATGTTCAAATGCAGCATTATATTATATTTACACATATTTATATATAATATTTCTTAAATCTAATCTGTAAGTTAAATTCCAAGCCCAATGCTCTAAATTTGTTTCTGTTCCTTCCTATTGTATTTCATGTTTCAGCAGTAATTCATCTTGCGTAAGACTAAACTTGTCCCTCTCCTTCTATTTGACTGTTTAGTGCTTAAGACAGGAGCTCCATATCTTTAGTGCATTCCCACATGTTATCACATGTATGATCATTTCAGAAATTCCTACACTGTACGATAATTTCATTTCATTTTGTGACAGTATTATTTTGGTATAATTCTCAGTATAGTAAGATTTGGATCTACGTCTCTTTGTCCAATGATTGTTGTGATGATGTCGGTGAAAATGGACCATGCGTGTTTTGTGTACGCATCTCTTTTCATTTAAATGAAGTCGAGCAGTGGGGGTGATTTTGTGGTCCTCTAACTTTTTCAAAAAAGATAACATTGGGTTACATCATGAACAAGGAGAATTACCTCTTCTGATCAAGAAGCTGTGCAAATTATCCACATCACTTCCCAGTCTTTTTCAGTATGTCAGTGGCTCAGTTTGATTCAGTGTGAAAGCTCATTTCTGTGATCCAATTGATCTGGAACAACTCAAACAACTGTCTGAAATGCTTTCAAAAACATGGCGAATCAAACCTGTTCCAAAATTTCTAATGATGGATGACAGTTTCTGAGTTTTTGCATTGTTACGAAGTGGTTAAGCACAGCAGTGGAAATTGAAAAAAATCAGACCTTGAAGTCTCTCAATGCGAAGGACACTGTGCTGTTATGTAAAAATCTTTTTATTTGTCTCGAGGACGAAAAGAGTGACAGCAGCTGTTATATAAAAAATATTTTCAGGTCTCCCCCATCGTTTACATCCCAGAGTTTATGTGACTAGACCCAGATGTTATAAATATGTTCCCCACTTTCTCCCTCTGTCAAAGACACTCGCCAATCAATAATGTCATTAGTCATCACTCGGGCCTAAAGGAAAACACTCCCGACCGAGGCAGCGGCAGTTTAGAGAGAGGAGAGAGGACACATCACAGCCAATACTCATCCAGACGAGAGTTTAATGATCGACCGCGCCGTGCTCAGGGAGATACTTCAGGCTGTGTGTGTGTGTGTGTGTGTGTGTGTTGAAGATGCATGAGGTCCAGATGAGAAGAGGGTAAAGTACTAATTTATCTGTTTCACCTTCAAGCACACTCAACAAGTTGCCTTTTCATTCTAACACGCATTCCTCCTTTTTCTCTGGCTTTTCCCCCTCTCTCCCGGTGATACCAATCTTCAACCCTTTACTCTTTATTCAATCTTCCCTCTCTCTTTCTCTCACATTCACTCACACAGTATTTCCTTCCTGTCGCTACCTTTGATTATGTGCAAAGTGTAGGATTATGTGATGTTATCATAGATGTAAAAATAGATGAAATGACCACTCCCCAAAAGCCAATGCGTCTCGATTGGCAGCTGGTGGTTGGCTGCACTATATAAATCTCACGTCCTCCATGTTAGTGCATGGGACACAGATGAAACAAAAAGTTAAAGTACACAGAATATTTTTTTCTCAATGTTGGTTTCAGGTAGTTTTTATCACACTAATGTGTGTTCAAGTGCTCATTTGTCCGGTAAATGTGATTTTAATTATTTCATGCTCTAAAAACGGAATGAAACATTATGATTGACAGCTGAGAATGACTCGTGATCGGTCTATCGATGGGACCACGCAGCTGCAGCTCCATCCAAGAGACAGATTTTTGAATATAGGCTCAAAAAAGTATTTGGTAAATCCTCCTAATGCTGAATGTCTATTCACTATGGTGTAGGTGGCTGTGGCTCAGGAGGTGGAGCAGATCAACCACTAACCAGAATGTTTGAAGTGTCCTTGTGCCAGATATTAAACCCAAAATTCCCCCTGATGACTAGTATGTGAATGATGTGTATAAGTAAAAAGTGGAGGATATATAAGTGCTGTATGAATGTTCGTGTGAATGCGACTCGTACCTTAAAGTGCTTTTGAGTGGATCAATAAAACTTGAAGTGCTATATCAATAAAGAACATTTACCATGCTACCTATAGTAACACCTTTAAAAAGGCACCACCATTTTCATGTTTCCTTTTCTGGCTTATTAAACCACAAGGATATGCATAATGCATCTGGGTGAGAAATACCGAATATAAACAGAAATTGTTTTTGTTTACAAGAAACCTTTTCTAACTTCCAAGGTCAGAAAAAAAACACTCCCACAGAAGGTTTTAGGAAAATTAACCAGTTGTTCTTATTTAAAACCATTCCTTGTCTTTGTTTTTTTTGTGTAATTAAGAGGAACATGTACCTAAAACATGAAGAGGTCAAAACCTGAACTGTTATGGACCCACTGAAATTGGAAAAAAGCTAAAGCTGCTGGATTGCTGGCTAAATGGCGCTAGACGATGTAAAATTCAAATTAGCATATTTATGATGTCATCATGTCGCATGCAAGGACGAGCAAGGTGATCAGGGCTTGATCTGTGAAAACTAAAAATAGATTTCAATTAGGCGATACCAAAGTGGAAGTGATATATCTTCCCCTAAATCTGATCTCAGAACAACGTTCTGTCTCATAAAAGATCTAAAATTGCCACTGCATTCATTGTCATTTTTTTTTTCAATTGTCTCCCCCTGAACCATTCATGTAGCTAAAATTCTTCCTGCTACAACTCTCTCCTCAAATACATTCACATATCCAACTTATTTCTGACAACATAATTAGCAGCTGGATTATGTTCAGAGTTGTCATCCACAGTGTCGTCTGTATTATGGTTAGACAACAAAATCACTTTGCATAAGATCAGGAAAGGATTGTGGTTAAATATCAATAAATATGTTGTATCTTCAGTCAGTTTGAACTTATTATCTTTTAAACCAAACCATGATCTTGTGTCTGCACCATAGAAAAATGTAATAATGTTGTATCACCTCAAGTGGATGTGGTTCTGCGATATTATTTTACTCATTCACGATCAACATTAATTTGATAATTCCAAAAATCTCTCAGTGATTTGAACATGTGATAAGTTCAATATGAGTAAAATTCAAGAGAAAGAGAATCAACCATCACATAACACCAAGCGAACAGCCCATTCAAAGTATTGACACAGTTATATTCTATAGAATGTATTTGCTGTTGAATGTTAGTTGTACAGAAACATCATTTTCTCCTACAGTCTTCTCTTCTCGCTGTATACTTTACTTTCACTCTTTTTCTATCATTACTTGAACGCCTCCCCTCCTCCACTCTTGCTCCTCCTTTTACATTTGTTCCACTAAACTGCCTCTCCCTCTTTCCCTCCCACATCCTTCTCCCTCACTTCCTACAAGCCACACGTCCACCCTCCCTCTCCTCCTCCTCCTAATTGTCGAGACTCCCTCAATTCTTCTTCCCTCTCCCCACCACCTCTAACCCCTTCTTGTCCTCCCTCCCTCCCGCCTCTCTCTCCTCCCTCCCTCGCTCCAATGCCATATGCTTTAAGAACCTTGTTAGCATCTGTGCCAATTAGGGGGTAGTGGGTAGCTGCTAACGAGACACAGTGAGTATACATCACACTGTTGTGCTCTTGCTTTGGCTTTCCGCCTTTGCTGCTCAGCTGCTGCACGTGTGTCGACAAAAATGTGCCTTCCCTCCACACACTGCCTCCATTAGGGCTCCCTGATTGTACGCTGATATTTACATTTTGAGGATATGATGGCTATTGCTGTTCAGGGAGACAAAAAGGCATCGAGTCCAACCTCACTAACAATCACTAGAAACTAAATCAGCAATGCATGAGTCAGGGACACTGTGTCTCTTATTTTCTAGGAAAATAAACCTAAAAGTAAAAGGGATTTCAGTAACAGTTTAGGTGCATCATACATATGTTGCATGCAGTGTAGAATCCATTCTAAACCCGCCTGCCCTCTTGTCCTGTGTTAAAGCTCCGGAGCTACTTCAGAATTAATAATTAGTCATTGTCATTAGTAAGTCCTCCTCAAACACTTCTACAATATACTGTCACTTTTAATACTTTCTGTGTTGGACGTTATGTGCAGAGCTTTTTATAAACATCGTACCTTATTTACTGGAGTGGAGGTACTCATGCCAATATTTTCATAAAATGAAATTGTATAACCTTTAAAGCTCTTCATACAAACCTGTGAATGTATGTGTCAGTCCAACACAGTGAAATAAAAATAATCAAATCATCAAAATAAGCTGGTGGGCCAGTTTTGGGCAAATTGCACCAAATTCAACACGGCTCTTCCTCGGGCCATTCGAAATACACATGCAAAGCATGTAAATGAACTCTTCGCAAGTTACAAACAGAACATTGTGAAATCCGTTGGTGGATGTATTATATTCACAATCATCAAAACTAGAGAATGACACAAAACTTTATGTTATTTTCTCCCAACACTCAACATTTATTGAATGAACATGTGGCTATAATAATTATGGCTTTGCTCTCATAATAGGATTAGGATTATAACGCTATATGAGGACAATTTCCAATCTCAAAGTTTGTAATTAGAGTGTGGAGAGGAGACGACAAACTATTGCAACACAGAGAAACGTCAGAAACCATTTTATGAGCAGACTTTCTTTAAGTGACAGGGAAAAGGGACAGGGGACAGCAAGGATGAAGGGAAGGAGAGAAGGCGTGGGACGACAGCGTGAGCGACGTCGCACCCCCTGGTGATGAAAATGACTTAAGGCAGAGAGAGAGCGACTGCAGTAATAATGACAACATAAATGAAACTGATGAAAGAGACATCAGAGGGAGGGAAAATAAAATAACGACAGGAAGATCAGTGACGAGGACGTGTCAGGTACAAGAGTGAAATTATGAGAGCGGAGAGGATCTGTGCACTAAGAGCAGAAGAAAGCCGTCGCGAGGCTTTGATTATCTTCTGTGTAAGGCAAGGAAATGTGCAGTGGTAACAGGAAACCCCTTTTAATAACCACACTGGAGTAAATCCAACGCAGAGAGAACATAAACCAGGGGAATTTAATAAAACTCCCTAACACGAAGGCAGTGGAAATATATCTTTAATATTACACAATATATTGTTAATCCACTTTGGATCATGACTGTTTATTTAGCATTTAGAAGATACAGCAAACTGATTGAATGACTATAGCTGGTTGTGGTTGTTCTTACCTTGAGGAACTTATACAGCAGAAATGTAAACCAGTTGGTCAGCATCTTCTCAGCGACAGACTCCGTTCTATAGAAGAGAGGACAGCGAAGAAAAGACAGCATTCAAGGAAAAGCTACAAATTAGTGATTCACATCATGAAAACATGAATAATTTATGAGTTGTCAGGTTTTAGGAATGTCCATAAAAGAGCTGGTCCACTAAAACAGTAACTTAATATTCACTGCATTTCTCAAGCAATAATGCAGAGATCTTTATAATATCAATCAAGTGCTAATATGTATGAACAGGTAAAGTTTGCTTCAGATCTGGAGAATGATCTGGATGTATCGGACCTCACATGTATTTGCAATATTGCAGCCAGTCAGCCTCGGCAGAGGTATTGTCTCTCAGAGTGTTCTTCTAGTTGGACCAACTCTCTGTACAGTATATCTTGGATTACACACTTGGCTGTGGATAACTCTCAAAGTTTAGCTCATCTGCTGTGCTCTCGCGCCAAGACTCTGAGTTAGATGAATTAGAATTAATTACCAACTAATACACATCCCCTCTTCACAATGATACATGACAGAAAATGCTACAGCCCTAATACAGGACTCTCTGAGTGTCAGTGAGAAAAGGAATAAACTCTTTTTAATTTGTCTGCTCAAACCTCAAATGAACGAATGCAGATTTGTGGTGGATCATTGTTTATGTGTAACACTTGGTAACAGTGTGTGTGTGTGTGTGTGTGTGTGTGTGTGTGTGTGTGTGTGTGTGTGTGTGTGTGTGAGAACCCCTCGTTATGTTTTTTCCACATCAGTGAAGCTGACAGACGCTTTACTTCTTTGCCTCATTTGTGGAGGGAGAAATCTTTAAAGGATTCCAAAACTTCTGTGGCTCTTGCAACAGTTCACTTCCTATATTTGTCTTATCATGTGCCGGAGTGTGACGGATGATAATGAGAAAAATAGATCTGTCGATGGACAGTATAACGAGCAGTGGGCCTAGGCTGTGGCCAGATTTACAGCGGGTTGATAAAAAGGAACCTTACAACTCACTACAAGACTCAGAGACAAAATCTTGTTTCTTCCTATAGGATTTGGTTTGTGGTTTACTTGTGAGAATCATACACATGGACAACTCTTGAAGATTCCTGAATGATGTTTTACTGTGAAGTCTATATTTCATCCCGGTCTCTCCACGTCTCCCTCACCTCCGGAGCAGCAGTTTTGGATGGTTTTTGCTCTCCAGATTTCTGTCAATCAGGTCGGACAGCAACTGTTTCAGGACTCCAGTGGCGTACTCCATCTCCCCCTGCAGGGCCGTCATGATCAGAGATGCCACGTTGCCTCTGTCTCGCATTGAGAACGACCTGGAAATACATTGACACTCTTAATGTTAAAAGTGTAGTCCACAGCTTTTGTTGGGTCACATCTAAAGCTGCTCATCAAAATACGAATACACAATCAACCTTACAAAAGTTTAACTACCAATGCACACTTTAAATAAATGGTGCCTTTGTTTTGCTGGTAATTAAAATAGAAACTAAGCTATTAATTCCGAAAGTAATTTAATTATTATATATAATATTATATTTTTAATCTTTGTTATTTTATTCCCATTGTTTTGTTTTATTGTGCAAATAAATACATAAAAACAAATCAAGAATTAAAGTAAAGAAATATAGATGGTTACCTTTGCGCCTCCAGAGTTCGTATAAACGTCAACAGGAAGTGCTTCTTCGTCAGCAGCTGGCCAAACAGCGTCAGTGCCTTCTCAACATTTGCCTGAACCTGATGAAAAACACAGAGACAGAGAAGTTGAAACAGAAACTATAAAGTAAATCTCTCTATATTAACATTTCTGATTGTTATAGCTGTTCAGCTCCTGAGGTACACAGACAAAGCACCGCATGCATTCACAGATCTCTGCTGAGGCATTGTCACCTGTAAAAAGAAGCAACAGGCCTGTCTGAGATGTAACTACTGCATTGTCTGAATTGCCAATCCTTGTAAAAAACTTTTACAGCATCATTATCTATGTAGGCATTTGCAGATAAGTCTCCACATTCACAGATCTTTGTAAGTAGAGACTGTCAATCTTTTCACACATTTAAAAGTCTGACTCCACAAGTTGAGAAACAACTATTCACTCACATTCATTTACAGTTTTGCAACAATATTGACCCCATATATAAACAGCCAGACGGATTGGCTACTCTCTCTTCTGCTAAAGGGGATTTTTGAAGACAATATGACGTCGCTGTGTTCTTGAATTAAATAAAGCATCCTCAGCCACAGCCTACATCCATATGATGACGCTAAAGTTTAAAGAAACTTAAACTATTTCTGTCCACGCTAGCAATTTGGCTCTCTTTCAGTTTGAATCCCTGCCCCTACTAACACGCCTGAAAACAAATATCACATGACTGCTTTTGTACATCGGGCATGTCTCTTCCGGTGCTTGGATGAAGCTTGTCTCTACACAAGTAAGCTGTTGTATCATTGTAAAATACAGACAGGAGCCTGACTAATCAATGAAGACTACGTTGTGACAGAAATGACCCAATCAGCAAGCTGTCGTGAGTGTCTCGTCTTCATTTCCCAACATCTCTGTTTCTGCCTGTCCAGACTAAAATGCAGCATCGGAGTCGTCATGTAATACAAAACAGGACGAGCAGTGTTTCCACACTCCGTTTTAGAGGCTCTAATTCTATGGTGAGCTATGGGTTTTCATAGCTGATGCGTTTTTCAAATGAAAATGTAGTTGTGTGGATGTAGCCATAGAGAGTCCTGTTGATTCCGGTTTATTATTAGACTTCTGCAAAGCTCTTTTTTTATTGGCTCAGTCCCTCTGACTGTTTTCTTGGCACTTTGCTGAATCAGCTTTTACTTCAGATATGTGAGAGCTCTTCAATGAATCTTTGAATAACACTTCAACATGCCGCTGTCAGTGGGAACTCTTGACTTTTTATCTGTTCAATCAGCCCAATGTCAGATAGATTCTTCTGTCTGGGAAGAAGCATGGGGGCATAGCAGGACAGTCATTGTCAGCGATGGTGTCAGAGGTGCACCCTGCTTGTTCCAGTGGCTGGCACCTGTCACTACTCATCAACAACACGCTAAACCCCCCAAAGACGCCTCGCCGTCTCTCACTCGCTCTGTCTTCTTCACTGCTCTAATTCTCCCCCTCGCATTTATTGTTGACTGTTTCACATCACTGGTCTTTCATCCATTTTAATTTCTCCTCCTCATTGTCATTGTGGGGCTCTGTCACTCACACACTCACACACACACACACACACACCATTTCCACCTCCAATCTTTCTCTCGCTCTCTATTGTCATCCTTTTGTGCCACTATAACGTCTTTTCTCTCTCTCTCTTATCCGCTGTGCCATTATAAATTGTCTGAGCCTCACTCTAAAGTGCTAAATGAGATTCTCGGGCCCCCAGGCTGGAAACTCAGTGTGATGTGAATGTGTGTTTGAAGAGCGTTGAATGAGAAAGAGAGTCAGATGAGAGATGCTTACATACAGGACAGTACTGCAGGCAGCAGAGTCTTTACTGAATTTCAAGAAGGGCATATCCAGCGCTCTGCAAAGCTGTGTATGTATGTGATGTCCTGTGTGTGTGTGTGTGAGAGAGAGAGAGAGAGAGAGAAAGCATAACTGGTGTGACGTGTGGCTGTCCAGATAAGAGGGGAGAGCAATAAAACTAGGTGCATTGGTTTGCACAGGCCTTTGGATTACACCAGCAATCCCTATGGGAAATATAGAGGGAGGAAGACGGAAGTCTAGACATAACCATAAAACACGTAAGATCCCTTTACATCTGTGCCCGCCTACAGTTGAGTGTGGAAATGTACATATAGGAGAACAGAGCTGGAGAACCTGACTTCTTCATGGCAGAAGTAGAAGGATTCTTTAAATTCAGAGCGTGTCCCTGACTCGTGATTCTGTGCCACCTGTCTCTCCTGTGCTGAAAGTCTCTCTCCTGCAACTCTTGTTTAAGTATTTAGATAATATATCATTGACATACTAATGTATTTTTTGAGCTGTAAACAAAGAAAATGACATTTATAACAAGATTAATAAAAAATCTGCACACAATGACACCTCCTGTTTCAAACCATCTTGCGTCTCACGCTTGTGGAGAATCAACCATTTGGGACGTCCCTACATTTTGACATTCACGCATTAATCAAAAAGTTAACACTGCCAGCGGTTTGAATGGCTCCGGCCACCTTCCTTTCCATGTCTGTCACAAAGATGTGTGTGTTGCTAAGACAACCTAGATAAGCCAAAGCTAAAGGCTGAAGTTATACTTTAAATCACTTCTATGAGAATTATTAACCATTAACTGACCATGACTCTGTCTAGTGACCGTGCAGACACCTGCATTTTTCTGCCTCAATATTAAAACTCTTCAAACATACTGCAGATCTGATACGTTTGAGACATGTATCATGATCTAAAAGGTTAATAAAAACTGAACCTAGAATCAATTATTTCACAAAGGTTCATATTTGTCTGTTGAAGCAGTAAATCAAATGAATGGATGTAGAGTATGGAGTTCAAGTAGATTTACTCCTCTGCTACCTTCATGCTGGAGAACACTATCTAATTTACTCTGCATTCTTTTCTTTTTTCTAATAGAAGCAGTTTGTGAAGTTTAAGCTTAATAGTGTCCACTGGAAACCATAATTGACTTTTTTTTCTTTGTCCAAGGATAATTCTTTGTGTTTAAGTAATCACTTATGTTCCTCCTCGCCAAAAATAGCAGAGGATAAATCACTAAATGCCGCAATGGCAACTACGAAAACCCAGAGGACTTTTTGTCTTTCTTTTTTTTTTCTTCATAGGAATATAAATCCACTCTCTGGATTAGAACGATTAAATGAAGCTGTAAAAGGTCAAACAAATTATTCCTCGACTTCAAAAAGTCAGCGCTCCAATCAAAGTCAATGGAGCGGTACCAGATTCTACATCTTAATGATACTGCTGATTACAAACTTGGCTCTGGGTTTTTAGCTTTGGAGGAGCGTCGTCTCTGTTGACGTACTATTAATTCTACTTCCCTCGGCAGTAAAATGTCTTTCTAAATCCGCTGCATCTCCACTCAGCAGGGTAGTTGTATGCACAGGCTTGATTAATAAATGAACAACGATCCTAAATGCAAGTAACAATCCTTCTAACCGTAGATCTTATCTCTCGCTCCATGTTCTGATCCTCATCATCTGCTATACTCTATCCTTTTTCACATCTCTTTATCTTCTTGTATTTCTTACATAAAATTTCAAGTGATTCTTACTTTCAAACTCCACTTCCAGTCATGAGAACACAACGTGCGTTTGTCCCATGAGAGTTGACTAATGAGGCTACTAAGGTGCTCGAAAAGTCGTCGGCATTCATTGAGACTAGCTGAATACATTAAGATAAAATAGGCGAAATATAGGCTATGCGAACGCTTTAGGGTGAACCATGTCCAGAGATTTCTTTCTGAGGTGACAGTCTTTGATAAAACATGTCATGGGATAATGGCTACAAAAGCATTAAGCTGTAAAGCCAGAAGGACATTTTTATGCTTTTAATTCCCCTTCCAAAGTACTTCTCAGAAATACTTATCTGGATGTAACTTATTGTCTCAACTATAAGCAACCATTACGTCTCTACCTCTGACATTAGCAGCCTAGTATTTGGTTGTACTTCGATTGATTATTCATGGTTCGTTTGTATCAGTTTCAAGTTCAGTTGGTGGTGTACTGACCCGTACCTCCATCTCCTTAAGCACGGGGTGGTCCTCGATCCCGGGGAACAGGACCCTCATTGCATAAGTCCGATAGTCGAGGAAGGGGATTCCAGCACCGTCCAGCTCCTGGGTCAGCTCATGGATGTCGGTCTGAAGCTCAGCAAAAGCTTTAAAAAAAAAGAGAAAAAGAGATGTCAAGATAAAGGATGGTTTTGAATTGGATTTGGAATTTGCTTGCAGATCTTTTACTGTACTTCTGTTGGTTTTTGATCAGACGCGTGAAGTGACTATGTAAACTCCTATAGGCTGGTGATGACATAATGGTTTCAGTGACATCAGTAGGGGGGACATGAATCTGAATCTTTACCTTGAGTTCAACCATGGTGACCTTTAACATGTGAAGCTGTCTTATTGACCAAAGGCAAATGGCGAATAGTAACTAATCAGCTGTGTTGTATATTTAATCTCGTCTGTTAGAGTATGAACTTGTTCCATCAAAAACATATGGTTTATAAATTGTTACGGGACAAGAGTCAATAGTCTGGTTACATTTTTGCATAAAATAAGCTTTGATTAATCACTTGTCTAAGCACATCCTTCCTTGTAATTGTAAACTCTAGTGTTGATTGAGGGCGTTTGTACCTGCCGCCTCTGTGACACAACTTATAACCTGCGGGTTCCTTTTACCTGCCAGTGAAAACCTGAAAAAGGATCTAGTACTTATTAAGCTCCTGAAAGAAACATTTTGGACTGAAGTGAAAGATAAAAGAAAAATGATTTGCTATCATTCTTAGTATTAGACTTAAGACTTAAAAGTATTTATCAAATACTCACAAATATACTCCTAAAATCAGGGGAACTCAGTTATTTAAATGACCTGATCCTAAATGACTGCATCACAGACACAGAGCCGAACATGCCTCTACTCTCGGTCAATGTTTTTTAGTCTACTATTATTTGCATTTGAACTTTTGATAGGAAGCTGTAACTCTGTTTCTATTTCTTCTCTTTGACAAATGAACAACAAGAATAAATCTGGCATTGATTATATTTACAGACACTGTGTAAGCCTCTTCATAGTGGGCACTTGTCAGTGTGCTGCTACATTCTCCCTGTTATAAGGTGTCTCTGACATGCCTCGTCTACCAACAGCATTTTGCATTTTGCTATCATTTATAATCATTCATAAATATATACTAGATTATTGTTACAGTCTATACGAGCTTCATATCTAAAAAACATTAAACTGTGTTTGGTCCTGTGTGTCAGTGTATGTGAGGATGCAGATGTGCAAGTCAATGGCTCCAAAGGTTTTCTGAAACTTTTACTTCCAGCACGCTAGTAAAATGTCAGATAATGACTGACATATACGTGGAAGATGTCTATGAATATGAAACTTGAAAAGATGACATTCTAGAACTTTTCGTGATTAGAACCAAAGCTGGTATCGTTTTTCACAACTGATGTTAGGCAGGTCATATCCTGCCGCCTGCACACTTTTCACAGATGCCTTTTCAAAATGTTCCTGTTGCATCTCTCCCAGACAAACTGCCCTAATCTAATTGTTATCTAGTTCATCTATCTTGATATCATTAATCTGTAACACCCCTGATCCCATTTTCATCATGTAATGAAAAGCAGAGGGTAATTCTGTAATTACACCTCCCTCCCTCATTATGCTTCACCAATGGCACTGATTCCAAAGATGGACAGTGGACATGAGAATCACAACACAAGACTGTACTGACAGTGTGTGACAGCACTGTAAACAGGATATATAGTATGTGTTTAAGATGAGGAGCCTGCCTGTCACAAATAAGGGGAAGTAATGTTGACATACAACAGTGCATCATTTCTGGTACAGTGTCTGCGTCTTTAACAAGGGGCTAGTTAGGCTTAAAAATAAACACCATAATGAGGAGAGAATCCCACAAAGGCAATAAATGAGAAGTAAAATGCAGACAAGACAGAACCATGAGGGGAATACAGGGATAGACAGCCATTAAAGCACAAAAACACACCCAGAATCAGCTAGTCACTTCAATTTAGTCACAGACATGTAGAGAAAGTAACATGAAAAAGCCAGTTTATGTACCTGTCTAACTTTAATTTTTCAAAATAAATCTGGATGAGACAATTAGGAGGAAAATCAATTGAAAGAAAAGGCTGAATGTGTCTGGAACTGAATTTCTCCACGTGTGACTTAACTTCAGTAAATTCAATCTTTGTCAAAAAAGATTTGAGCACAATGGAATGAAAAAGTGAAAATCAGCCTGGGGAGAGAAAGGCAGAAACAGTAAAACAGAAAACAAAGTTCCTGGAAGACAATTAATTGCATGAGTGGATAATTATTAAGAGAGCGACGGATGAGTTTTCATGCATAATTTCCCCCAGCTGTAATTGGCCTGCTTGGTCCACAAGAGAGATGGATAGGGGGAGGAAGCAGAGGAGATGAAGGAAAGATGAGGGGAAGAAAAAGAAGAAAGGAGAAAGAAAAAGATCAGGAGGTAAAGAAGCAAGGATGGTAAGACAGAGAGGAAAGGAAATCCAGGGGAAGAGGATGTAAGTGATGAGGACTAAGAAGAGTGAAAGATTAGGAGGGAAAGACCTGGGAAGAAGTAGAAAGAAAAGTAGAGATGTGAAGAAAGAGGCAGAGAAGAAGAGGCAGAATGGGAGATAAAGAGAAAGAGGAGAAGGAAGTAAAGAAGATGAGAAGGATGGAGTAGAGGAAAGGGAGGGTTAGATAGTCAGGAACATGCTTTCTCTCCCGTCCGTTATTGTCTCCACTTTCCTGTCATCTCATGTCTCATCTTCTCCTCTATTCTCTGACCAATCTTTCATTTATTACTAAATAAGTTAACGGTTATAGCTATAAAGGGTCTGGTAATAATAGAGACAGAAACACTGCAGCACATCAGGATGCATAAAATTTGATTTATAGCCAGACAATGTAACTGCAGCTATTTCCCAAAATGTCCCTTTTTTTTTGAGTCAGTTGCAAAGACACAACTTGAGTGAGACCAAAATGTATGTAACAACAAGCAGAGAGATGGGCATCCTGGTGTGTTTAGCACTGTGACTGTGAAATACCAAGCATTTCATATTCATTGAATGAGCTTTGTTTCTAAGGAAATATTCTTTGCAAAAGTAAGATTGGATTATTTAGTGAAACTTTAAATCCAATATATTAGTCAGTGTAAAGGTAAATTAAACTAAACACTCAACAGTAAAAAAAAATACCCACAGTAACAATCAAATACACAAAAACTAGCATGTTACCAGTCATCTTTCCCTTCTTAGCATTTTCTACAATACTTTTTTTTATTTACATAAAAATCTTTTCACACGACCTTCGTCTGACAAAATATCTCCATTAAGACGATAACACAAAAATGCTCAAACAAGCATGCCGGGCCAGTAGGTGGTGATAAAGTCTCCTCCAATGATCCATCAAATAGATCCATGTGATGTTGTTGTTAACCATATGCTGGATTTATTGAAAATCTGCACTTTGGATTTGCAGAATATCCGCATATATTTTAAGTATTTCATCTTCTTGTGCATATTGTGTTACTGTATGTTTTGTAACAGAAAGTTGTCATTGTGACATCCACAGTTTTTCTAAAAAAGCTGATGGGTTCCAACTCTATTTCTTAAGTGTTTAAATGTTTGGCTTCTTGCTAAGTGACATCAATCCACACAGAGACTTGTCTTTGCCCGTTAATTTATTTGAAAGTCAATTTGCATTTTGTTTGGTCATGGAGCATCTGAAAAAAACGTGTATTTTATCTCTCCTGAACTAAAATGTGACACTTGCCATTCAGCAGTTGTCATTTCTATTATGTAGCTAATAAACCTTGACTGATGATAAACTAGTTTAGATGATAGTCTGCTTTTCACGGTCGACTGAACCCAACGTCCCCTGTCTCTTCCCCCTGAAAACTCCTCGTACCGAGCAGCCAACCTCGCACACAGAGGACCGCCCACTTCATCTGTTCCTCCGCCCACATGCACAGCCTCGTCTCTGCGGGCCAGCTGGGAGCGCTGCAGGCGCGGCGGGGTGAATTTGGGAAGGGGGTTCGGTGGATGCGAATAAGTTAATGAACTTCCTGGAAAACTGAACGCTTGTTTTCTGTATCAACCGTCTTCTCACTTAGCAAAGAGGGGGACTCTTCCTGTGTCCTGAAAAACGTCTTTGTACTCAGACAAGGTGAGAACACTTTTCTGAAAATGTCACCTGGCACCGCTCTCCTTGAAACCGCCACACTTTAAATCAAAAGCTGTTGTGGGTTTGGTCTGACAGCTGATCCTTGGTGGCTGATAGAGCCGTGACTCTGTGTCACGACTGTGGTGTAATCATATTGTAACCTTGTACCATAACTGTGTGTGCCTGTGTCATTATATGGAGTGTAAACAGCTGGACTGTCCCTACATCAGTCATCAGACACTACTGCACTGTAACACTGTGACCTCACATAGAGCCCCTCTCCCCCCCACTCAGCCGGCTGTCTCTCCCACTTTATCTCTCATTTCTCTGAGACCCATCTCTTTGTTATTCTGACCTCACACATCCTCCCTCTCTCTCTCCATCTACCACCCAACACTTTATATGCTCTCTCTCTCTTTTTATTCCAACACTCTTTCGTTGTCCTGTCTTGTTTTTACTCAGACATACGGACAACTGACATCTCTCCACCACCACAATCAGAAGACCACATTAAGAACTAGAATGTCACTCTGTGGAGTTCATACCTCCACCGATCCCCGACAGTTCCCTTAAGAAACCATATTCAAATTCACACGAGCTGGATTTTTGCTTGGATCTGCGGAAGTTACTGAGCACTGAGGTTTTTCTAGAGGCTCCCAGTGGAACAACACCTCCTTCACACACTTTCTCATGTTTCTGCTTTCTCACCCAATCTGTGTGTCACGTCAGTGTTTCATACCTGTGAGTGAAAACCCATCATGCTCTAAAGATAGGACCATATGGTTTGCCTGTGACTCTGTACTGATGGTAATATAACTTGGCGTGGGTTCTTTCCATTATGTATTTAGATCAGCCCTGTATTCTTACATATAAAGTGGTTTTTGTTTGGTGTGACTCAGTTATGACACAGTCAAACATTTGCCTTGGAAAACATACCCCGCAGTCACACTGTTGTTGTCCATGACGACAGCATCCAATTTCCTGCTACTACCAAATACAGTGCATCTCTTTCTATATATTTTGGTTATAAAACTGTAATCCACATACATATCCTTTTACATTGTTAAGCCTGCATGTTCACAAAATTCATGAAACTTATAATTCCTTTTTTTATAATCATGAACAGTTGGACACTTACTCAGAGACTCAGTGCTGTAATCAGTGCCACTGAAAACAGTTACTCACAGTCACTCTGAAACTATTCCTACTAATTACTTAGAAACAAAGTCAAGATATAACTTAATCAATTGCATTGTTACGAGTTGCAAGCCTTGGATTTTTCAGACCTTTTTGACAGTGGCAAGTGGCTAAGCTTTCAAGCTTCTGTCACATTGCAGTGGCACAAATGAGAATTATTTCCAAAAAGGATTAGACTATTCCTTTGAAAACCTAATTTGGTCTAAACCCTGAAACTAAATAATCTATTTGTTTTTTTTTTTTATATTTAAATGAATCTGATGTTCTCTACAACAGTTCAATTGTTACATTTTGGTGAATTTTATATTTTTGTGTTTGACATTTATTTATATGTTAATCAAAATGACTGTAAAGTCATTAAGAGCTGTGGCTAGCACAGCGTCACTGTTTCTGTGACCTACCTTCTTTACACTCCAGGGCCACTCTGGACTCCAGGTTGTCCATCTGGAGCTGAAGACGTTTCAGTGTTCGGTCAGCGTCCCTCGACTTCCTCTTATAGGCTATCAGAACAGCGATGATGACCAACAGGAGCAGGCCGCCACCCCCTCCAATACCGATGATGGCGGGAAGTGTCAGAAGGCTGTCTGAGTAGATGTGAAGAGTCCCGGGGGAGTACTCGAACCCGCCAGCACGGATCTGAACCCACAAATACAACATACATTTAATGAATGAGAGAAAAAGGACACAAGTTCCAGTAACTCCTTAATTATAAAGTGACACAGTCATTCACTAGAGAGTTGATAAGGTTCAGTGCATCGCTCAAAGGCAGTTCCACCACTGGAGAGAAAGTTACAACTGATTTACTTTCCTCTGTCAGATTTTCAGGGAATTTGAACCAGCACTTCCTAGAAAGACAAAAACCAGGCAGTGGTCACTGGAAAATAGCGGTCTGAAGAGATCAAACAGCGGTGGTCTGATGAAAGAAGTCAGTTGACCCAATTTCTACCACAAGCGTCATTAAATGTTTATCTATTCTGTGCTTGTGCTAAACAGGCTGATCTCTGACAGGCTTATACTGAGGAGTCTCACATCCCCTCATCTTTGAACATTACTGGTAAAGGTTTTTTTCTTCTTGCCTTTGGGGGAGCAGCTTCACAGGCCTTTGATAATGAAGATCTCACAAGTTAACTTGCTCAGTGCTTTAAATGATTTACTCTCCTCTGCATTGTCTGAACATAACTCAATAAGTGGGTTTTCAACACAGATGTTCTCTTATCCTGCTTTTCCACTAGGGCAGCTCCAGGGCCAGTTTGGAGCCAGTGCCAAACCTGGAACCAGTTCCTTGTGTTTTGACAGCCGACGAACTGGCTCTTGGCCATAAAAAGAATTGCACCAACTCATTGCAGTTCTAGAAATAAGAACCGGCTGGGGGGCTGGATTATCGTGACCATCAAGAACAATCACAACTTTGTTGTGACCACTTGTGATCGGATCACACCACACTGTGTGCAAAACACATCTGTATCAGTGTGTGTGTCTCTGCGTGTCAGTGCAAGTGAGAGAGAGAGAAAGAGCAAGCAGAGTAAGGTTGGACTAAATAAATAAATTAATAAACATGCACAATATAATATAATATGTAATATATGTCAGCTCGTGGGTCGAAGTGTTGAGGTGTAGAGGTGTGGACAGCAACATACAGTATGTGGTGACGATGACATGGCTCTAATGTGGTTCTAGCCCATGGAAAAGGAAACTGGTCCTTAAAAGCTTTGTAAGTTGAACCAGCTCCAAACCAGCACTAGCACTCAGCTCGCTGTGATGGAATACAGGTATTATTGATGTTCTCATTTCTTATATATCAGTTTACGAACAAAGTTAAACCAGCGCAGTGGTGTTAAAGTCAAGCACACACACACACACACACACTTAAAACACCCAAGACTACACACACACTTAGACACAGTATAAGTAATCAAAAAAAGTAATCACCAGCATTTAAATCTCTCCCCAAGCAGCCTGGCTAATTATCGGAAGTCAAACACATGTTTTTTTTTTGTCCGACTAACTACATTTACATAAGCACAGTGTGTTGCAGAGAGGAGAAAAACACACACACACACACACACATGCAGGCACGCTGCACTGGAATCTGTCAAATCAAGCGATCCTGCAGGGGGGTTGATAACTGATTCAAATTAGGTGCGATTATGTGCTTTGAAGTTTCTATGAGTGCACTTCCATGTTATTATTATCAAAGTCTGAAAAAAGAAAACAGAGGAGCTGCTATATCAATATCAATGAAGGCATAACCCACAAATTCAATTTACAAATGGTGGAGACAATTAAACGCAAGCGATTAAAGTCGGAGTTTGGATTTATTTGTTTGTGGAACAAGACAGTTGGGCTGCACGGCACAGAGTTCGGGTGTTTCAGCTTCCTCTCATACTCTAAAGACATGCAGGTTGGGGTTAGATTAATTAGAGACTCTAAATTGAGCATAGGTGTAGATGTGAGTGTGACAGACTCTGCGACATGCTGGCAACCTACAACAGATTATAATGGATGGATAGATGGATGAAAGACAGTCTCAGTCTAGACAGTATTTAACATCATACAGGATTTATGAGCTAATAACTGTCAACAGACTAGCAGAAGGTCACAGTGGTGAGTTACCTCTTCATGCATTAAAACATCAACACTCTATTCTTTTTGTATTTTTTACTTATCGAATTTTTTTACGGCAGTTGGTTGTGTAAAGGGTCACTCGAGCTGGTTTCAGACATGCACTGAACTCTGGATACTCTCCTGAGTCAGGGGCTCCGGACATTCTGCAGAGTTTCTCCTGCCAGTTTCCGAGTAAAGACTCTGGATACTGTTCGAAGGAGCCCATGTGGGAAAACAGCAGGAGATTATCCCAAGGATTCAGAGAGCGAGTGGTTGTGTTGATGATGTTTTTGACAAGTGACATTGACTAAACTGAAAAAAAGAATACAAAGATCCCAGGGTTGAAAAAGAGGTCTCAAACACGTAGGAGACACAGAAGATGTCATCCGGAACAGGCAGCAAGAGCTTTGAGCACCGGAGTCGATGTTTTAACAAAAAACTCGTGATCTCCACAGCACACTTGATCTATTATGTCCTGCCGCCTGGATGCTGTGCCACCCCTCACCTGAATGCTCTGCAGATTTCTGTGCTGTTGTGAACGTCTGACTTCATGCCTAAGAACAGCTTTGCAGTCATGCACCCACAGAGCAATATTACCCAACTCTAAAGTTCCCCTTGGTCAATGGGACATTTCCGGATTATTGTTTTGATCTTACAGCCTATAACTTTACTGTTTGAATTTCACGTCACCGCTGTCATCAGGCAGCTGCTGGAACAGCTCTGATAAACGTGCTGTGTACCTGCCCAACACCAATCACAGGAGCAGTGACTGGCTGGTAAACATAATGGAGCATTTAGCAGCTTCAGAGCCAGATATTTCCCTGAGGAGACCAGAACAGAACCATAACGAGTGAATATTGGATTTTCATTTGAAAACGTAGCCATGTGATAATATGTCAGTGCTGGTGGGTTTTTTTTTTTTTCAATCAATTCAGCATTTTTTTGTTTTAGCTTATGTGTACTGTTGTTGATTTTCCTTCACATGGAATTCATAGGCCGTACAAGTAAGTGCAAGTTTCAAACTATTCTAGCTCACACATCAAAAAATAAATAAATAAATAAAAAATTTAAAAACCGGCAAGTAGAGCAAATGATGTCAGCGTCAGCATCAGCAGGGGATGGGATTTGTTTTGAATCTAAACGTGGGAGGGCGTTTCCTCCCATGCCTTTTCATTGAGGACATTCTGACAGCAGGAAGAGCAGAGGTGTGAATGTTTAAATTAGTAACGACTTAATTACATTTCGCTGCTTCATTTTCAGGGTCCCGGTGTTGTTCATGCTGTGCTCACTGTCACACACTGTCAACACTTCCTGGGACACTTGAACAGAACACACGCCCCATTAACAGAACAGAGCAGACACAGTGGTAAGGTTATTACCAACATCTGGGCCTTTTTTTCTGAGGAAAAGGACATAACAATAACAACGTCAGGAATTATACATTCAAAGGTCCCATAAAATGGCTCTTACACTGCTAATTCTATTTATGGCCACATGAAACTTAAAGCTGTGAGGTATTTTAATTTAAATATTCATGAGATTTCAACTTGTTTGTTGTTGGAAAATGGAGAAAACATAAAATCTATGCCTACTGGAGGAAGGAGAGGTAAGGTTATGTTGGATTTGGGGAACTCAGAGATAGGGTTACTTTCTCGGCTCATTGCAAATGAATATGTATTATCTAATCAGAGGTCACTGGCATATCTGGTGCAATTAACCAGAGGGAAAAGAATCCTTCAACGTGGTGACACATTTTCAAGGCATTTTTCTATTTTTATTCTCCTGACAGACTGAAGGACTGATGGAGGAACTTAAAGAGCTGAAGGCCAAAACAACAAACAAGTTTCTTCGAAAACTCGAGGGAGGAGCACAGCTGCCAACACACAGCTGAGCATCTGAGGGGACACACAAAGACACGTTGACACGCACACACTTCTTACTGTACAACAACACACAAATTGGATGGACACCCATTGGGGTCCCCTGTATGTAGGTCATTCTACGTAGGGAATATTATTGTGCCACAGCTGTGCGCACAAACACACACAGTGCATGAAGTAACACACACACACACAGCAGAAGAGATAGGAACAGACAGCTCTATTTTTTCTTCGGCTATTGTCAAACGAAGGACTAACTCCACCACCCCCGCCACCACATCGCATCGCTCCGATATTCGACATGACATTTCATTCAAAAAAAAAAAAGAGAAAAGGGAGGATAGAAAAAAAGAAAGAAATTCAAGAGAGTTCCACCTTGGAGCTGGCTGTATCCGTTGAGAGCTATCATACTGAATTACATGGATGTGCTGTCAGTGGCTTTCTAGGTATATTGGCGGTAGCTGGCGGGGAGTAAATGTCATAAAGATTGGTGATAAGTTTAAAGCTGGTGGGCGGTTGGGGGGTGGGACTGAGTGAGTGTTCTGGCGGGAAATTCAGACAAACATCCAAATATATTCATGGCAGAACCGAGTCGCCTGCAGGAGATCTGACCTTCCTCTGTGCAGATGCTCCAGGAGCTGCATTGCGATTTTGAAAGTCTGCTCCAGTCAGAGTGAATCAGGGATTTCAAATCTGCCGTCTGCTGACAGCTCAACACTCTGGACAACTATACCTGAATGGTTCCGTGCACTACTTCCTGCTGTATTGTAATTTCTGGACTGGAAATGGAAGCAACATTGGCATCATTCACACTGTGGGTGGCGGTAAAAAAAAACTAGCTGCAGCTACATGTATGTGTACACTTCTCATACAAAACAGGAAGTAGAACTCAGTGACGCTGCGATGATGCTTTAGCTTGGATTTGCTGAGAGTTGGACAAAATTTGCACATCAGAGAGATTTATACAGAGAACGAGGTTCCTGGATTAAAGCTTAGAGACGAGCTTAGTGTCTGCATATCAGTGGCATCCTGGAGAAACAATTCTATTCTTAATACCACCTTTTATGTTTCTGCATAACTCGAGGACAGGGCTGCGCTGGTGACAGAGAGACAGCGGCTTGTCATGGACATAAACTGGAGCAAAAGTGAATACTCATACACTTCTCTTATCTCTTACCAAATATGACGTACATTAATTCAGCTCTCTGCTCCCCCAAAATCAGTTTGCTAGTCTTATGAATAAAACGTTTTGAGTTTGCAGGATCAGGTATCCTATTATTTGACATTCTATTTTAGAATGTAGAGCAGGTATGACCCTTTGCTGGTATGTAGAAAAAACTGCAGTTTCAGACATTTTTATTTCCAGATTCAGATAAGGTCACTTTGACCTTTGACCACTGAAATCAAATCAATTATTATTTGAGTCCAAGTGACAAATTTAAGAAACTTGCTAGAGACAGACTTTTTAAATTAATCTGTGAGAGTGAATGTTTGTGTCTGATGTAATGAAATTCCCGATGGGTGTTCTCAACATTCACAAGAACATGAGGTTTCCATGACCTTGACCTCATGTAGAATTTACAAAAGGGATATTCTAACATGTTTAAAACCTTGATTTTCACAGGAGGGTGACTTTAAGTTAAGCTGTGTCGTATCTTCCGACATGCATCCCTCACTTACAGAAGTGTGATTACACTTGCACAGTGTTATTACACTTGCACAGTGTCAGACATGATGTGTGTCATGGGTAAATGAGGTATTTTAGGTTTACCTTCGCACTGTTTAATTGCTTCTTTCATGAAGCATTAGTCTGATCTTTGATGGTCGTAGCAGAAATCTTGGAAGATGCTGAATGAGAGTTTGGTGTCTAATACTGGGCTAAGTGTGAATACATGGAGATAAGAGTACGGAGCAGCGGTGATGTGAGCAGCTTTGATTAAAGTGGAGTGTGGGTGGAGGACTGGCTGGTGGATTTACTGAAGGTTAGGTACATTATATTCTGTGTACTATTAAATGTCTACACCCTCAAAGTAAAGGGAAGCTAATAAAAATACACGAAAAATGAAGATGGCACTAAGGGGACTTGAAAACCTCTCAAATCCAAAAGCAGCAGCACCTGCAGAGGAGAAGTGCTGACGCCTGCACAGCTGCTGGTGCCGATACACTTCAGCAGAGAGACAGGAACATGGTTTTACATCTGCAGACATGTCTAAAGGTTCACTGTGGTCATGTTGAGGATATAATGTAGCTGTGAGATGTGACATTTCAGACACTTAATGGATGTGAACGTTAACAGCATGGTGAACAGTTTGAACAGACATTAATCACGAGTCTGGTTCCTGTGACTGAACTTAACTTCTCCACTGCCTTATTTCAACAGCAACAGGCTCGCTCAAGGCCAATGAAGAGCAACATGTTAATTGTGCGTTACATATTTAACAGCAGCCTCGGTGTGAATGCTCCGTGGAGCGTATCCCCAGATCTGTCGGTGGAAATCGTTTAGAAACGACACGAGGGGGTCATTGTCATAACTCACAGACAAGGTTAGAGTGACATTATAGGCTGAGATTCTCAGCCTCCAATGTTTTCATTTTCATAAATATGAGTTACTGGGACAGTGAGGATATGCTGTCTCTTTTGTCTTTCCAGGAAAATTGCTTTCAAAATTGACCCTGCAAAATGAAAGCTGATTCTGTAATTAAATGAATAAGAAAGATAAGAAATTATATTAAGGTATCAGCTCCTAACATCAAGTTCTCTTATAGATAATCAATTCAGTGAACACAGGGACAAGATGGGACAGAAAAGTGCAAAACTTCCTTAAGTCAAAGTCAGGACAGGTCAAAGTGATGGAAGTAAAGAGGCAGAGGACACAAAGTGCTGATCTGACCGTGACTTTGTGTTGTCCAGTGAGGTTGGGCCATTCACACAGCAGCTGGCTCTCAGACAGGGTGAGGACACAGGGAGTCTCTCCAATCAGCACCGTGTAGTTCAGGCGACTGTTACCCGGAGCCGCTGGGATCAGGTTACGACCCTAAACACAAAACAAGAAAATCATGAGAGGGAGGAGAGGCCCTCAGCTCATTTTTATACAGAGAAGTGATCATGAGATACCATCAACACCTTTTCTTGAAAGACAACTTTCAAGTGTAACCCTCTAATTGCTTGGCAGTTCAGTAAAACCTTATTTGTTTTCCTCTAATGAAATCATTCAATAATCTGTAAATGAAGACGAGTGAGAGAAATGACTCACTGACAATACAATTGCTCAATTAAAAATGCTTTAAAGGACGAGGCCGTCGATGCATTTTATTTTCCTTACTGTTAAAAAAGCTGACTGATGATAGTTATCTTTACAAAACAGGTATTTATTTCATCTTTTCTCTTAAAAGTGATTTCCTGAAGCAGCTGTTTGTAGTTCTGTCTGTGGATGGATGCACATTTGATGCTCTGGTAAATACAGCGACAGGATGAAATACAAAAAGAAACTGCAGTGTCCATGTTTATCACAATAAAGAAACCTTTTTTTTATAGTTTCAGACAGCAATGTAGCTCAACTGCACGAGAATAAGATACAGGAATGGGCTTCAGAATACAAACACAACGCTTGTTAGTAGGGGTCAAGTCCATATGAACTTGGGGCGGCTGTGGCTGAAGAGGTAGAGCAGGCTAGATCTCCATCTCCCCTACTCAGCATGCCAAAGTGTTTTCGGTCAAGATACTGGAGCCTAAATTGACCCTGAGCTGTGCCGGCAGTGTGTCAGTGATGAGTGACTGACTGAAAGTGCTGCACATGGATGCACTGTGTATGTTTGTGTGAATGGGTCAATGGCGAATCTGTTATGTAAAGTGCATTGAGAGGTTATCAAGACTAGAAAAATGCTATATATATATATATATATATACACAGACGATTGACTCATTGACTGTATATATACTAAGGAGGTACACAAAACCCTCACCCACATGCACAAAAGCAGTTTTTTCCTCTGTCCATTAAACTGAATTCCACACAAAGCCTGCACAGAAGGTGTTTTTCTTCGAACATTTGTCGTTTTAAGTTCTAGTTTTTCATTTCAATGTCCCAAGTCCAATTCGAGACACACTCTGACGGACGGTGAAAAAAAAAGGGGGAAAAATTAATACAAAGAAAACAAGACAGATACGAAATGTGGCGAGAAAACATCAGGAGAGCGGACGCGAGGAGTGGGGAGAGCAAAGAAAAGATTATGAGAGAGGTAGAAAATGTGTGGGGACTACAGCAGGCGAGCGAGAGAGAAAGAGAGGGAGGAAGATAGCTGCCTTGTGTCCCGCTGGCTTAGCAGTGGGACGCAGAGACAGACTCCGTTTTCCAATCCCATCGTCTCTGCAGGCTGCCACCCAGCCCCGCTCCGCAACCCTGTAAACATGCATCCCATTCCATCTTGCAAACACACACACACACACACGCAGAGCTCAAGCCACGCATGCACTCAAGTCACAGCCACACACAGAGCTGTTGCCACACATACACACAACAGGCAAGAAGCATCACGCCGGGCCATACTGTCAAAGACACACAAACACACACAGGAAAGCACTCAAGACACACCACAAGCAGATAAATATTTTTTTCTCCAGCTAACACTCACTAAAAACACACCCGACACTTCAGATGAGAAATTAATTGCGTGGCGAGCGCAGTGCGTGATCTGAGACACGCTACCCCCACATCCCATCTTGCCAAATTGCATTTTTGTCCATCTCATCAGTGCTTCCACTAGGTAGGCAGTTCTACCAACAAGCCAAGCAGGAGATTTGACAATTACTGAGAGGCTCTTTGCTAATAAATTATCATTTAAGAAATAAATTACACTGGTTATGCTGCTTTCAATTTCTTCATGGAAATAAACACCGTGCCACACTATGATAACACAACCGATAGAAAAGGCAAATTCTAACAAATGACAAAAGCACTGAACAAAAGATCCAGAGCAAATGTAACATTGCAACACTTATATAGTGTACAGTCCACATCATGCCATCAGTTAAATTCTGTTTCCACAGATTTCAGGAGGGTATGAACCCAGAACTCATTTTAGTAGGAGTGTTATTGGGATGGTCGAATAGATTTCTGTCATTTTTGAAAATTTTGGTCAGCTGTCAATGTACAATTTCATAGCAAGACATGCTCACGTCTCCAAGTCTCCTGGTTATCCATATTCCGATGCCTCTTCCTTTGGACATTTGGTCAACGAGAAAAATATATAATCAAGGCAGCATGTTTCTCTCTTTTTTAGCAATGTTAGCAAACAAACGTCTTATTCATTAAAAAGGAGGAGCTGGCGGCAGGGTTCAGAGTGAGCACATAAATGTTAAGCTTCGCCTTCACGCAGGAATTTAACAACAACATCTCTGAAGTCGCAGGGTAGCCCAGCTTTACTTATCCAGTCTCATCGCTAAGTTTTCTACTTCACTCTAATTTCTCTCCAGTCGCTCTGATTAAACATTTCAGATGAGCTCGTTGTGATCACATAATGACACACACACTCACAAACTCAAAATTGCCAATTAATTTCCTTTACTTGTGTCCAATCACTGAAAACCAATAGAATCCAAATCTCCTGGACTTGGGGCCTGTGTGCTTCCAAACTGCCCTCACGGCACCAGAAATTAATTACACAAATTGCAGGCAGTGTTATTTAAGAGGGCTTGGGGCCACAGAGGAGGACGGCAGTCAAAGAAGCTGCTCTTAGTTACTGAAGGACGGGAATAGGCCTTGTAAGGTGTGGACGTTTGCTTTCAGCTTTCAATTATTCATTTGTGAGATATTTTTCTCCCCGTCTCAGAGATCTTGCAAACACATTTGAGTTATCTTTTTTCTAATAGGAGAAAAACCTGCTGCTGAGTGTGTGTGTGTGTGTGTGTGTGTGTATACCTGTCATTATTAATACAAGATAGGTTCAATATGTTTGAGACTCTTGTAGTCATCTAAAAAGCTATCTATCTACCACTAGCTGAGACTTTTTGTACGCCTGCTCCACATCAATACTCTGTTAAAAATCAATGACAACTATAAAAGCAAATATAAAACAAGGTTGGATTATCTCACATGTAGAGGTGGTGTGTAGGAGCAATACTGGACGGGTAAATAAGGAGTTTGGAGTGTGGTCTTTTTTTTGGAGTTCAAAAAACCCCAGAAATACAGTGTAGAGAATGGATTCAACTGTGTTCATAAGCTTTAATAAAATATGCAATTACCTCACTAAATACAGAATTAAATACAAAACTTTTTCTTAAAGGTACACATCAAAGAAGTGCATTGGTTTTATGGTTAGAGGCAGCATTAGAGGTGTGATTTGTAGGTTTTGTCTGCTGCAGCAAATATGAGCTTCAGAATATTTACAGTTCGGCAAACTAATTTAATTAATCCTTTTTATAATGTAAAGTTGAAAAAATACAGTTTAAAGATGTAAGAACTGTGTGATCTGTTTCCTTCTAAGCATCTTTTTCATCTGTACATCTTCTACATGGATCAGGTACAGGTATAACAGCAGTAACCAAAGAAACCTGACGATGCTTCACTATAAGTTGGGGGGGATACTCTGCCAAATACCAACAGCTGATCCCATTATAGCCTAAAATCAGGGATAACCTTATATTTCTATTTGCAAATGATTCATTTATCGACCTCTGAGTATGGTGGGATAAATTAATTAGCTTGAAATCCAGACGATTTAACACCAAGCAAATGTGACAAATTCTGTCTAAATGTCAATAGCCTCATTCTCACTGCAAAAGCTGTCTGAGAGCAGAAGATATGAGTCTCTTCTGCATCACAGCTTCACAGCATCGCAGAACGACTCCCTGTCAAATTAAGAAGTGTTTGCCAAGCCAACATTGTACCCATGGTAAAAATCAGAGGAATAATAAAATAAACTACATAGTACAGGAAGTACAGAACAAATAACACCTCTGACCTTGAGAATGAGTGGTGATGTGGGTTTGAGCTCCAGTATTCCAGAAGGACTGAGCGGCTCAAACACGGGGTCGGGGTAGTAGCTGAATGTCTCGTTCACCACAACCAGAGCATTCACGTTGTCCATGTAGAACCCGATCTCGTCCGGGCCTGTGCCGGTCTCTGAAAAACCCAGCTCTGAATCGGCCACCGATGGGGCGAGGCACACCATGACTGAGTTGTTATACACCGTACAGTTCTGAAAGTGGAAGAGACAAGCACACATTTGAGGCTTATGGTCACAGTCATCTGGAGAATCTGCAATATTCACATTTGAGGTAAGTCAGAGAAGAAAGGTAGTGAAAAAGAAAATCTCATTAGTCTTCTTAGAATAAAACTACGTGTGGACACAAATCTAAATACTTTTAATTATAATATAATTATAATTCCATTGGAAAAATAATATCAGAGATAAGCAGTCAACAGAGTCTCCGTTTAAAATACTAAGAATAACCCTCAGGTTAAATTTTTCTCTCTCTAAAATGGATCTGTTGGGTACAATAATTCATCCTTTTTGTGAGTCAATGCCCTGTGAAACTGTGATTCCATTATACTTATTGGAAATGTAAATTGGTTGCAAATTTATGATCAACTCTTAATAATCAGTAATGTGCTATTTGCATTTGTTTGTACATGGAGACTGTGAATAAACGATACTGTTTGCATGAATTTATACGGCTGTTTGGGGGGACAGTATTTTTTGTCTTGTTTTCTACCATTTATCACAGATGTGTTACCATAATACTGTGAAAGTAAGGAAGCCTATTATGAATACCTGCTTCATTGATTTTGATATCAGCACATATATATGCACAATGTATATAAATAAGCATAGTTACTGATATAACACAGCCTATTTTGTAGAACTCAACAGTGATAAAAATAAATAAATGTAAATATCCAATGAAAAACATGATGGTTGTTATTTCGCTTGTGAATGCAGTGCTATTAAGCTGTCCGATCTGGGACAGTTTTTCAAATGAATCCACACATTCTGTTTAGATTTTGCTGCAATGCAATTGTAATGCCACTCTGACAAAACTAAAAGGAATCATGATGTTTGTTGTGACCTATCTCAAACAAAGCTCTGCGAGTTGACTCTTTTATTGTATCACATTGCACAGAAGGCAAACGAAACCAGGGAGAAAAATGCATTGAAAAAATGTGAGACACTATAGAATGTTTTGGAAGATGGCTGGCATTTGTCTCGTGATTAATAGTAAATGGGCAACAACATTTGAAAACATTATCACTGTCTTGAAGTGGAAAGTTGTTTAAAAGAGGACTGTGTGGGATACACTGTGTGGGCTGTTTGCCTCAATGAACGGCAGCTTCTGCAGGCTGAGGAGCCTTAGTATTGTTTGACTTTAGTTCCCTGACACTAACAACTAAAAAGCCTCAACTCACTGCGACACTCATCAAAGTGCTTTGAGAACAACAGTATCTATAGAACCCAAGACACTTTTCAACTCCTTAAAGGCGACTTTAGGTTCTGTGTGGATTTGTTTTTCTTTCTTCTTTATTCCCCGGATCATCCTCTGCGCCTGTCTCTCGCACACACATGCACACGCAGCCTCTCGTTTTGTGACACAAACACTCATGTGGTGCGGTGACATTTGAAAAGCTATGTGACCTGAGGTGGCCTTAGATGTCTGAAGGAGATGTGAGCAAAACACAGAGGCAGACCGTCCGCCACCTTCGGCAGTACTTTAGAAGAACTTGTCTGCAGATGTGCTTCTGTGCTTGGGCGGGTATGCCTGACTGTATATATAACTTCTTGTTTGTATGATACTGTCTATCTAATAATTCCAGAAATCTCTTTCGAGCTCAAATATCTACTACACACTTGACATGTGCATTTGTAAGGGCCCAATAAAGTACATTGTCAAATTTAGTGGGATTTGGAAAGGAAAAATGTTCAATATTGATGAACTTTGAATAAAGAGGTGAACAGTTCTTCGTGCAGCAGCAGTGTCACAGCTTCATTGCTCTGTGGATTGGACCGGTCTTTACTTGCCGCAGCTCAATTACTGCAGGTCACTTTTACAGTTTCAGATAGAAAGCTGCAACCACCATTACCACAGGCCAAGAAAACAGTCAATTCCAAACAGGCAGGTTTAGAACAGCACTGCATGAGGAAATATAAATCTGAGGTGGGTATACTGAGGATATTGCATGCCTGGGTATTTTGCTGAATGTTAATTTGTGCATATGAGGGGTGTTTTTTCTGCACTTGTCAACATGAACCTGTCCATTAGTGTGTGTGTGCTAGGATATATGTCAGTCACATCAATACTCACATGAAACGATTCCGCCTGCCCATACTTGGCCCTTATCTTTGGTTCTCGGATGGTTGCGAGGTTGGTACCGCTTACTGTCAGCAGAGTTCCACCACTATAGAGACAAAAAGGAAGAGAGTGGGTGATGAGTAAAAACTTATTATATAAAATTATGGGTATCTCAGGGTATTTCGGATTGGTAGAGGCCACATTTGACTGCTATAATGTACATGCAAAATGGATATTACTGTAGTATGCATGGAGCAGTTTGACAAAGGTTCCCAAAGAAATGGGGGTCGTTGGGATGGATTCAAAGTGCAGGATTTGTATTTTTCCTTAACCTTCCTATCCAGAAAATACAAATGCTTCAACTTGGCTGATGCCCAAATGTAATTTTGTTGGTGAGTGGTGTGTGAAGATAGACCCACGTGGCTGGATCAATTCTTAAACAGACTTAATTCTTTTGTCCATGACCATGCTTGCGCATTAGAAACAACAGCTGATCACAAGTTCAGTCAAATTGGCAAGAGTTTAGGATGCAAGTCTGTGTGGAAGTTTAAGTATCCTTCAAAGGTTCCTATGTTGGTCTGACCCAAAATGATATGTGGACTTGTTTCCTTTGAACCCGAATTGAAAAAGGATCATAAAGTGAACTATAAAACAAAATCTATAGCACGGAGGAATCTGGCCACTTTTAGAGACAATGGTGTTAGTTCGTCCTTTTCACTGCTACACTTAAACTGGATTTATAAGGTTTTTATGAAAGATGTCTTCCTGTCCCATTGCCTGCCCTGTTTTTACAACGGCAGTTCCAACTTCTGAGTACCCTGCTCGGCTTCCTGCAACGAGATCAGTGCCTTTCACTGCAGCGCCTCCGAGAAATATAGTGTCTAAGATTCCCTATTGTGTGTCATTCTGCAGGTTCTTCACTGCCCGGAGGAGGAAGTTCTGTCGTCTCTTTCGTTGTTGTCTGAAATAAAAGGCTGAGATAATAATGTATCTTGAAAATGTCATAAACAATGTGCAGCACTAAAGCATATTTTAAAACCTGGAGTGAATATCCAAAGGGTCGTTTAGGCCTTGGTGAAGTTTGTAGTTCAACCCATGGTTTTAATATCTCATTAAAAAAATGGGATCTCGTTTCTCTGCAGACGTGTTGCTGGTTGGATTGTAATACGCCTTAGTCTCTACTCAGAAGTACCTGTGTCTGACAGCTGAATCCACTATCTACACTTAAAAGATGAGTGTTTTGAAGATTTACTCCCTCTGTTGCTGTTACGATATAGGCTCTTCGCAGGGGAACACTGCTTTAGCTTGTCACTGCCCAGACTTAAACTACACTAGAGAAGTCTCTATTCTGTAGACAGACTTGCCACTTGTCTCCTGGTGTATTGTTCTTTTAGCTCACACTGAACATTAAAGAGTTTTATGACAAAGTATGATTTAAAACCTTCTTAAAACAGCCATCTTGGTATACAGTATATAGACCAGTAATCTTTGCAGACTACAGTACTGATGAGTCTGCCAACTCTTTGCAGGCTGGCCCTGTAAAATACCTTCTGTTCCTGTCCCCAGTATCCCTTATACCTATTCACCTTTCTTCATAATAAAATGAATTGCTTTTCGTAATCCTGCAAGTTTTGTATTACCTCCATCAACTGGGATGAACCTGCAACCTAAAATATCCCTTGGACTTTTAAAATAGGAAAAGTTTTAACTTGTAATAATGCAAGTGGATGACTGGTGACCAATGACCCACTGCTTATGCATTGGAGGACTGCCAAACTTTACTATCTCTTCAATAACCAAGGTTTAGATAGAATAACTTGATTCCCATGATACTAAACCAGAAGGGCGCACAGAGAATGCAAACCTCCATCAAAGCTAACTCCCTGGCCCGCAAGGTTATAGAAGGTGAAACATTTTCTGCCCCCTTAACCGAAACCACTCTAAATGTTATTGGATTCTTTCTTGGCCAATACCCAACCCTTCTACAAAGTTTTAAGAAAATTGGTTCCATAGTTTAATTAACAGCAATGCAATGATAACCTTTCTGGAAAAGGTAATGATACAGTATGTCTACGGGCCAATTTAAAAGTCATATAGGCAGAACAAATGAGTCATACATTATGGTAAGTTGTGTTGTAGCAATATGTTACTCACTGAGACAGTAACAAGCCTTTATCCCTGGCCTTTGTGTCAGCTTTCCTCTAACTCTACTCTGCATGACAACAAAGCTCCTTCCTTCTGAGTTACCACATATAGCAATTGATTTCTGAAATATGCAGGTGTCTTCTTTGTTGAAGTTAATCTGACAGAAAGACTCACGTTATAAGCGCCAACAGCAGAGTAAGTGATATGGTGATTCGGAGCATGAGCCTCTTCACATCTAGGATAGAGTCTTATAGAGTCTAATGTGAGACATTCATCTCCCTCTATGATCAAGACTTACAATACCAGCAAATGGTAATGACAGGGAAGGACAGGTGTAAATGATAAAGGTAGACTTAGCATCTGCTACATCACTGAACGACAAAGGGATTTAAGTCTCGCTATTGTTCTCAGCTAAGTGTTTCCTTTTTTTTATTTTGGCAGCTTGCCCATTTCTGGCTACGGAGCACGAGTCTGACACATTCAGTCTCAGTGGAGTCTTTGTGATTTGTAGATGCGATGGGGTCATCAAGTGTTATATAGTGATATTGACAGCTGACATACTGTCAATGATTTGCTTCTACTTTCATATACTTGTATTCACTATTCATAATACTGTATTCAAACAAGAGCATTCAAATCCTCAAGAGCCAAATTAAGCCAATTTGTGTGCATGCTCGTTATCTAGCTGTTCCAAATATTTTGCTGCAGTCTTTTGTAAAATGTGTTTAAATGTTTATCAATAAGTTATTTATGCTAGTAGAAGGTGTTCTGGTCTTTTTGATCTGGTTCTTTTTGAGGAACAACTTTGTAGAAAGTGTAGTGTTGTGTTTGCATTCAGCTACGATTCCATTGCAAAGCAACTCCATTGTCTCCAGGCACTAGCTGATAAAACTTGCCGGTGTAGTGATCAGAACAACGGACAACCCTGCAGCATCAGTATCAGGCGGATGACCCACAGAGGATGCAGAGAAAGAATGAAAAGACAAGGGAGGAGAGATGTGTCAGAACAACAGAGACTGATGGAAAAGAATGTATCCTTCATCCATCAGTTGAAATCTGAGTTCACTAGACAGTAAGATGGATGAGCTAGTAGCCCTTTTAAGGAATCCGAGTACCTTACAGAGAAATGGCCACAGGAGGATACACCAAATCCCATCACTGCCATTGACATCTTTCAGATGATTCAGTTTGGACCGAAATAAATCCAAGAGTGGAGAGAAGGGAGGTGATGGGCCTGCCACTTTTATTAACAACAGATGGTGACATTACCTTAAAGGAATGTTTCTACGGTTTCTACAACATTGAACTGACTGTTGCATGGTCACATCTATATGAGGTACCTTGAGAGTTCTCATAAACCATTTTGGTTGTTGTTTACATCCCACTCTCTGCTAACCAACAACCCCCTGTGACGTCACCTGTGTTGCCAGAGTAGCCTATTCCTCAGCACCCCAGGGCCTCTGGATGATTTCAAGGTGTCTGCAATCTGATTGCTGGGATAAATAAAGTTATTATGATTCAGATTTCTGATTAAGCCTCACCAACTAAAAAGCTGCTTTCAGACATGCACTGAACTAATTCACTGCTGGATTCACAGTGAGTGAGAGATGAGGGGTTGGTGACTCTTCTAACGCACGACATACGCAGAAATAAAACAAAATGAAAACAAATATCTCCTGAGGAAAAAGTGGAGCCATTCACGTAGAGAACACCGACGAAGGTGTAAAAAGAGTTTGTGTTGACAACACCCAGTTGATGTCACCTCCTGTCTCTGTCTGCTGCACATAGCTGCTCCACCTCTCACCTGAAAAATGCAGGATTTGTTGCTGTCGTGAATACGTCTGTACAAAAGACCTCCCGCTGTGTGAAGGCAGACTGCGGGTAATCTTTATTCTGCTATTCTTTTTACCTGCAATTTGTTATGGAAGTTTTCTGGAAGCTGGTGAAATGAGAACTCAGGCAGCAGCTGATATCCTATGCAGAAGATTTCAATGTAGACTTGATGCATCACGGAGACTAGAAGGTGCAACAATATACAAACGCTAACAGAGTAACATGAGCAATTGTCAACCCCAAGTCTGAAGATGTCTCCCACAGCATCCTCATATATCTTCCTCTACTTGTGTCACCCATTCTAACAGCACAGCATAGAACTGATGTCACTCTCTATGCAACATGTAAGTGTTTGCATCCTATTGGATACTGGTGTAATATGCAAAAGAGTTCAAGTTGGTGAGAGATGAAGTTGGTGCCTCTCTGGGGAATCTGAGTTAGATGTGAATGTCTCTAAGTGTAGACACTACAATGCACTGATGGTTGGTCATTTATCTATAACCTGACCTTGTGTACTGCTTAGAGAGAGAAGGGAGTATCTGTGGAATTAGTCGGCACTCTTCTCTTAATGGTGTACAGATATAATGTAATATACATTATACACATAATAAGGTGGTATTATAGTGGCATATACAGTAATGTGTGAGGATATCCAAAAATTCCTCAACACAGGTCATGACTGTAAATGGCAGAAGTGAGACACTGGATTAGGCTGAGCACTATTAAAGTCTGCCATAATGTGGTAAAATGAATTCTGAACGAATCAAGTCTGTTCTGTTGAGCACAGTCTAATTAACATCAAAAAGTTAAAGTTACATCGCAAAAATCTATAAATAATTATTTTTTTAAATTCCTGTTTGAATATAGATTAGATATTTGAAGTGTCACAGCCAAGGAGGGTCCTCTTTGATTTGTCTTTTTTTTTTTAGTTTGGACAGTTACTATGTAGTAATGTAATCTGTTGAGCATAATTATATATAATAAATATTATGTAATCCTTAATTCTTTACGAATGCAATTAAGCACCATATTAATCTGACACTTAAGCATATAGTTGTATGAACAATGCTTTAATACCTGTATGTTACATAGAAAAACTGTCTTTGATTATATACTACTGTATATTGGATGTTAAAAAGAAAAAAAAAAGAAAGTTGTATAGCATAATTGCAGTATGCTGTATACAACAGAGATGAAGGTAGGCGATTAACAAGGGAGCAGTGGAGCTGAGGCCACATTCAGATGAACTGATTTTTATAATTAGACACTTATGTCATTGCCACAAACACACCATGGGACAGACCAGCCTGCACTTATATAACACTGTGTGTCCTGTGTCTCCTTCCTCCTCAGTTTGATGAATATTTGTGCTGAGTCCTTCTGTCCCTGTTGCTCCTCTCTTTGTCTAACTGAGTCTCTTATGCTCAGGTACATGCTTCAGGGAAGAGACAACAAGACAATCAGGATAAACTCTCAGGGATGGCTGGGGAAATCCAACCACTGTTGTTAGCGTCCCTTTTTATATGCTGTCCATCCCACTCCTCCCATCTGTCCTCTCTGTCTGTGCTACTGTCTCTGTTTTCCTTGTCTGGATTTTGGTCTGATCTTCCTCTCACTGTGACATGTATATTCTTTCTCACTTTAAGCAGGGGATTCTTTAAACCTTCATTTGTGAGTTTAGCAACACGATAACCTTACAGAAAACATTACTCATCAAAAAAGGAAACACAGTAAAGACAGATACACACCTTAAGTGAAGCAAAATCTATATGTTCTTTGAGGAAGAAAAGTGAGTCTGCATCAATACTTCAGGTTCAACTTTTGTTAACTTTGACACTTGAATTTGGTCGGTGCCAATAGTAAGCTGTATCGACAAGGCTAATGGATAGCCAAGGAGCCTATAGTAGCTCATTAGCTTTGTTGCTCAGTCTTCTTTTTTAACACTTTTTAATGCTTCCAGAAAAGACTCATAATTTGCAGATAGTTAGGTACATAAAGTATAAATTGCCATGTTGAGGAAAAAGTAATGATGAAATTTTGAGGAAAAAGTCATAATATTATGAGAATATAGTTGCAATTTTACAAAGTCCCGCCCACTTCCAAGTTCCAAGTTGGTTGAACAGATACAGCTAATGGTGTACTCGCTCATCCCTAAGTTATATTATGGCATTATTCTCAAAATCTCTGTTTTTTTTTTTTTCAACATGGCCCTAGTCCATATAGTTAAGAGACAGGAGCATAATTATTTTATTTTTTTCAAAATAGCAATGTGAACCCAATGCCCTGTTACTAGCCTAGTGGTCTGGGTATCATCAGATAATCCAAAATTCATGTGTAACTATTAAATGAAACAATTTTTTATCTTGTTTCAACACAAAAAATTCTTTTGGGGCAGAAAAATGAAGAGGCATCATGTGACGATTCATTTTCGTTTCAAAACGAAAAAAAGAGGAAAAGAACTTCAACAACAATTCAATCAAAATAATGTATGATTATAAAATAAATTGTCAGGGCACATTAAAGAGAAAACTAGCCATTGTGACAAATAGCATGTCGGTTGTTCAGTTAGCTCTGTACTATTCCTGCCATGTCCAGACCAATCCTCTACCTTTTCTGTGGGAGTGTGTGGATGAACTTTATTATTTCACTTCCTGGTATGACCTTTAAGCTTTTGATAAAGTGAATACTGTGGTTAATTAATTTGCACTTTCAGGCCACTGAGGAAACTGACAGCTTCCTGTCTGAACGCCTATATTTAGTTCAACCACTTTACCAATGGTTATGCAGATCAAGCTGAACTGAAGAAATAAGGAGATTGAGTGCCTTGCCAAAGGGCACCTTGGCAGTCCTTGCTGAAGAAGTGACAATCCTTGTTTGCATCTGCAGTTGGTTTGGGAGAATAAGTGAATATTTTGCACCAAAATTGCTTGTCTAACCTCTACTGCACCCCAAATAGCTTCCCTTGCTGTCCCTGATGAGCCCTCATTGATTTATTTTTGAAGTCCTCTGTCTCCTTACTAAATGGAAATCCCCCCCCCCCCCCATTTCTCTTTTTTTTGTCCTCATCGTCTTTCATCCACTCTATCTATCATCACCAAAGCACAATGATAAAAGCTCTGGAGACGTGCATGTATTCGCACAAAAGCACACAATGAAGCAGATATCAACCAATATGATATCACATCTCACTGGTTCGTTATACTACATCTGAGCCAACGTGAGGGCACTGGCTGAAACGCATCAGCTTAATAAAAGCTTCTTCTGTAGCTATAGCAAGCACACACACTTTGTGTTGCCATTTGTGAGGTGCAGGTGCAATGTTTTGTGGTTTTCTCGGCCAGATGGAGGAGGGATCTAGGGCCAAACATCAGGGACTCTGGGAATCGGTGGGGTGTGTGTGTGTTTGTGCATGCATGTCTTTTTTATGTGGGATCATCACCCCTGAGTGAGCTTCCAGAAGTAGAATCCTTGTTTTTAGCTTTCACACACGCACACACGCACACACACACACACACACACACACACACACACACACACACAGTGGGTGTGCAGGGGCAGTGATTGGGCCTCAGCTGTTTCTTGGACCAGTCCCACTGAGCAACATGGAGCAGTGCAGGATTCATCAACACTTTTCTCTAACAAACTCTGCATCTACCTGCTACCATCTCTTGATGAGTCACCAGTGGGAGGGACGCAACACAGAGAAGAAAAGAAGGAGAGGGAAGGAGAGAGGTAAAATAAAAGGAAACAGGGCAACGTATTGTCCTGTTTCAACATTTAACATAAATTAACTCAGAAAGCAGAATAACAAGAGCGGATACAGAAAGGAAAATGTAAGCTCCAGTAAATTATCTGACAGAACATGTTAGATTGAAATGGTTTATTTAGATGGTAGGTAACATAATACTAAAAATACTTCACTGCATATTCACAGAAGACAGTTCGTAATAGACAAAACTGTTCTGTAGATAAATTCTGAACTCCACTGCAAGCTAGTATCAAGCTTTGACACTTTCTGACAGGACTTAAATCATATGACCAGACAGGGACCATCAGGTGCCAGCAATTCTGTGAGTATTTGAGGTTGTAGTTAATACTGCAGTAGTGGGTGAAAAGTCAACCACATTCCGTATGTGCCCTAAAAAGGATCAAATCAATAAATCTAGATAAATGAGAAACCTTTGCTAGTGCATGTCCTCCATAGTGATGTTGCTCTCATGCTCAATGCTGAGTTGTGCAAGGTCTTCATTTATTTAGCTGGAGATATACAGTTCAGTGCTGCAGACTGAAGGCTGAGACTCTAACCAAGAGAACTTTTGCCTGAACGTCAGCCGATCAGTATTAGCAACCACTCCAAGAGCTTAAAAGTACAGTTTGCAATTCACCCATTCACCCACACATTTATACAGTGCATCTAGCACTTTTTTGTCTATGAGGGGCAATTCGGGGGTTCAGCATCTTGCCCAAGATCGAGTGGTATTTTAGTTTGCTTTAACTGCCTCCACAAAGATTTCTCAAGAACGTCATGGCAATGCCACTGTATCCTAAAAATCAACCTCAGGATATAAACTCTGCACTCAGCCATTTTAGATAAATTCCAGTAGGAAACATATTTGTTTTGATGCATTTATTGAGCTGTCTTCAGAGACTCTCCAAAGTTGAATCATTTCAGGAACAGCAGCCTGTTGTTGTTATAACAAGTCAAATGTCCTCTCTCAACCAAAGTCTGTTCATTGCCGAAATGACAAGTTTCCAAATACAAACTACTGAGCCAAGACAGTTTGCCTAAAAGCCCTCGTTGGGCTACAGGGGGACATCATGAATCTAAATAAGGTCAAATCAGCTTAGTAAATCATAACACAGTGGCTTACCTGGCAATGCTCCAGTCAGGTTCAATCCTCAGGACAGTGGGGTCTTCAGTATAGTTAAACTTGACTTCAGGGTTTCTCAGCTCAGCGTCGTCGATGTCCACCAGGACCGATGAAGTGCCTGGTGCCAATCCAGCTGGGGTCACACACACTATCTCACGGGCATTCCTCCTGGATGGACACAAGAATTTTAGAGAAAGCAACAATTCACATATGAACAAAGATTCTGCCTATTAAAGAGTAAATGACTTCTTCCTTGTGCCAGGGCATACCTTAAACACTGAGGTCAAAGCGTTGACATGTTAAATGACTTCCTCATTATTTTTGTAATTACCAGTGTCTAGTCTGAGAAGCCCATTAATCTAGTTCTCTTAAAACCATATGCTGCTAATTTGATTGAATAATTCCACTTGTGGCCATCGTACTTCAGCTAAAAAAGCCTGTCAGGTCCTGTGAATTGACCAATTTCCTGGCCTGCAGGAATCTGAACTTCACAGAGCTTTTGATCACAGCAGTGAGTCCAAATGTAGTGTCAAAACTCAGTTTTATTTTTAAGCCACATTTATCCAAGCCCTGACAGATGACTTTTAAGAGCACACAATTTGTCACGCAATTCATAGTCTATGAGGTACGTTTGTATTTTTACCTCTACCAAGGGGGTTATGTTTTCATTTTGTCTATCTTATCTGTTAGACCCCAGATGTGTACAAAAAGTACTGACCAGTATGGGTCAGGGCACAACACAATTAAATGTGTTTAATTTTCCCATTAGTATTTCCCACATAATTCCTACAAAACGCTAACAAATGTCACTATCACACACTACAGATTCTGATTGGCAGATGCACAGACTAAAGACTGAAAGACAAGTGTCCGTGAGAGACACATACCAACTGCAGGTGAAACTTTGGTTTGACGGTGCAACTAAGATATCCTATGTTATTATGAGAAGTGGAACAAAAATTGTAAAGTAGAACATGGTGGGGCACAACAGTCTAGATAATTAATGGGAAACAATGTGTTGACATGGTGAAATAGGGCATTAGCCTTGGTAGAGGTGTTTGCTCTCACAGCTCTCCCTTCTAGTTTCTTATAAGTTTGGGTGAATTCGCCAAGACAAATGTCAACCAACTTTGTGTCTATGGCATAAAAGTATTGAATCTTGTAATAGTATGTTGCTCCTCAAAATATTTCATATCAAAAGAAGTGAGATAAGTATAGTGTAGGGATGAATAGTTTATCGGCCCTATTTAATCTTTATACTTAGCCTACTATGATTGGTGCTTTGAAACACATCAGTTGCACCAGTCACCAGTGTGTGTCTTCCTGTGTGTACACACTGCATGTGTGTGTGTGTGTGTGTGTGTGTGTGTGTGTGTGTGTGTGTGTGTGTGTGTGTGTGCATGTCCCAAAGGCAAAATAAAATTTTCAATTGCAGTCTTGTGCGCAGTGCCCAGTAGCTACATTATCTAATATGTATTTAGCACAGTTGAGTGGTGGCTGCTTTTCTGGGCCATGACTTCACAGGAGTGACACATGTGCCTGTGTGTGTGTGTGTGTGTGTGTGTGTGTGTGTGTGTGTGTACTGTAACGTATTATTGCACATTCTTTTGTGTCTCTATACACGATGGCAGTCACACATAGAGAGGGAGTGTGTGTGTGTGTGTGTGTGTGTGTGATGGAGAGAAACAGGGAGAGAGAGAGATTCCACATTATACCTGCCCTGTAACCATAGCAACCCCATTCACCAAGAACACATGCCCCAGCAACCTTCGCAAGACGCCACAGACACATGGGCACAGTTAGGGTGCGACAGATAAAGGCCGTGTTGAGGTGAGTGAACAGTTGTGGTGATGTGGAATCTGTTGGATTACTGTGAGGAGGCTGCGGCACAGTTATAACTGCTGTGACATCAAAGCTACCATACGGTTGCTTCAGTAGAGATTAGCCACGAGAAGCTAATCCATGCATTTGACATGCAAGCAACTGTGGCGATAGTTTGGATTTTTTTTTCACGCACTAAATGCAGTAGAGACAAATAAAAGCTGTGCGTTTGCAAGCAGCGAGCGTGCATACACACTTAAATGCAAACATTAACACCCCCCCACTCACACACACAAAAACATCCTAACCTGACACACTGATTACACGCTAACATGTGCATGTAATATCTTTATGCTGATGACGTTTTTTTCACATAAACACATTTTCAACAGAGCATGTTTATTTATGCACATATTTATTTATCTGTCTCTTGCGTTAACCACTGTACCCTCAGTCATAATTACAAACTTGTTTTCCTTTCTTAAGTATTGTTTATTTGTCTTTTTCTTATCTAAATCTAATATCCTCTGCTGCCATGTTCCCATTTCCCCACAGGGATCATTAAAATTCAATTTAGACTGAAAAAAATGTGCTCTTTACTTTTTGAAGTAGCAAGGCTGTGGTCCTATGCTGACAGACACATAACTGCCTGCGTTCAGGTTGCTTCCCTCGATGGTGACCCTGGTGCCACCAGAGATGGGCCCCTGAGATGGCTGGATACGTGTGAAGTATGGAGTCTGGACAAGAGAGGAGATAAACACAAGTTTATACCATTTTCTCAATGCCTAGAGATTTTTCAGACAAGGCAGCATGTTGCAAAACAACTACTTGAATAAAGCACCACTTGCAAAACCTTTGTTGTCATTGTATGGTCCTTACCACGAAGGTGAATGGCCTTGGCGACAGGGCTCTATAGTCGTTGACGCAGTCCCTCACGCACACCTCCACCTGAGCCTCTTGGACCCTGTAGCCGGTAGCGTCGTTCAGCAGACACACTATTCTGTGGATGGAAAGTTTGAAAGATTGATGGAGAAGAGAGTAAGCAGACAGGGTATTTCTGCTGTTGTTGTGAATTACATTTTACATTTTATCTTTAATCTTTAATAACAGATTCACCTTGCAATGAAAGACTATGAGGGCCATGTTCAAGCAAAAGGTACTTTTGCAAGAAAGAATTCAAAATTGTACGAGACTAAAGAAAAAAAAAATCTATACAGTTTTTTAAGAAATAAGCAAGAAGATAAGAGAACTTGTGGTTGCAGGACTCGGTTGGATCCAAAACCTTGAACCAATCTCACTGGGAAACTATAAAAGCACTTTGAATATCACACAGATAATTTGTAACTCATATCCTGTCAGCCACTGCCAAACATTTCCTCCTCCACAAACGTTCAAGAGACTGTTTCTCCGGGTTTCTTTCATGATCTTTTCAAATTCCTGATATTGAGAAGAATGTGGTGCTCAGTATTTTGTTATTCGTGAAACCTTTACAAAACTATAACTTAACAACATGCTCCAGTTTCCTCATTGATCTAAAATAAAACGCAGCCTATATTTATGACTATTCTCTTACAAAATTTATTGTACCTTACTATTTCACTAGTATAGAAAAAAATGCACAACTATGCCTAAAATAGAACAGAAACAATGACAAACCCACAAACCAAAGACTCTCACATCACTATCCACATGCAACCAAATGTTTTCAACCTACAGCCGTTGTACTGTGAGTTTTAGAGGCATCAAGTCTGAATGAACGGCCGGTCACATCATCACAGCAGAACACTGCAGCAAAAATGATACAATGGATTTGAATCCATGTCTCAGGAGTGGTGAGAAAAAGTCAAAATAAAATAAAATGAATCGGACTATGAAAGAGGTAGAAATCTAAAATAGATCACGTTTGAAGTGGTGCAGGGATGTCAGGAATAATGTGATGAATAACCGCTGTTTGTGTAATATTTGAATAGTGATGCCCTCTATTTCAACATGCATCATTTCCCGACTAACTGCACTACAGAGAGATTGTTTGATCTGCGTGAACTCAATTCCTCAGCCGTGTAGGACCCTGTAGAGGAGTAAATGTCAGGATGGAGGGATGAGAAAAATAAAGGAACGAGTGTATTCAGGGAGTAATGGAGGGGGATGCCAGATGGAATTTACAGACACAAGAAAAAGCCTGATGTCAATGTCTCTTCACCTGATGAATAAGGATACACCTACACAGAAAAATCCTTTTTTTTTTCCTGGTGTTTGATTGGTCAGGATGAGAGAGGTATGAGATGCTGCTGTCGTTGGTGTGGATGTGTCCTCACATCCATGAGTTAGTGCTTCAGAGAGAATGAACTGCGTCTCTGTGTGTGACTGAAAATGCTTTGATCCGTGTCGGTGCACTTTGTGAGCACACGTACCGCTGTATCATTTTCAGTTTGTGCATGCCTTTCAGTGGATGTGTGTTTAACTACCTGTATTTGTATCCTCCGTTCCTGAACTTACCTCTCAGCGCTCACATACTCCTCCTCAATAGGCACACAGGGCACTTTGCCCAACCTGACGCCCATCTGGATGTCTCTGAACTGCAGACCCAGGTTCTCCCCCAGGATGGTCACCCTGGTTCCCCCTTGGCGAGGCCCAGTCTCAGGGAACAACTGGAGTTCGCGAAAAAAGAAGAGTTCATATTATTTTTATCACTTTTCATTCCAAAGAATTTTCACATTTAACAAAAATTACACACACACACACACACACACACACACACACACCACGATTAATCCACAGGCTCATATTATATTCTTAATGTTCAAGTGTGAAAATGGCCCCACATGACACAGTTTGAACACTGTCAAACTAATATTCACACAGGCATAACACACATTCACACACACACCATACAGGATTGCTTGTGTCAGGTGATTCTAGTTTTAATGAAGAAAAATCACCCTCTTGCCTTTGACAAACACTGAGAATGAGATAAAGAGAGGGCAAAATAACAAGTTATGCTGACACAAAGAACTAAAGCAGCAGCCTCTCTACGGTTTAATTGAAACTTATTACGCCGGCTTGGCTTTGTCAGCGGGGCTTTGGCGGTGTAACGTGCGGTCACACTGCCGACCCATAATGTGATTTATCTAGCCAGATTATGGCGCGTAACGGGGACAGGTGTGGTGTGACAAAACAAATATGGTGACGGATGGACGGTGGCTGTCACAAACACGCACACACACTAAGGCATGGGCATACACACACAAACCTAATCCCTAACAAGCATCACAAGGTAATTATGTATAATCTGTCCATTGCCCTGTTCTTCCGAGGTGCTTGGCTGAGCAGACAGCTCAGTGTGGAAATGCAAACTGAGGCGCTGACAGTTTGGAGGCATGATGCTGTTATTATAGCCGAGACAGTAACAAACAAAGGACCTTGACAAATGGTGATTTCAACGGTGTGAACTAGTTGGGGGGGTGAACAGTTTGTTTTGCCAGACACATGAGATGCAATCCTAAACTTTTATATGGAAATAGTCTGCAGAGACCCTGTACCCTTCTTCATGACCAAATGCCTTGCACAAGGGCACCTCTGACTTATTTATGGAGGCAGTATAATACAGTGTGAGCCAGTGACTTTGGCCATTACAGCTAGGTTTGGTAATCCTGGAAAAGTTAGGAAGAGCCGGCTACTAAAAATATGCAACCCATACACCCCACCTCCTCCCATCTGCCTTCTCGTCAAAGCTATGCCCTCAAAACATGTGAATGTGCACTGACTGACAACTGCTACAGGACGACTCTCTGTCATCTTTTTTATTTCAGACAAATTTATTTTTTGGTGCTTCACGACGTGATAATTTCAACAAATAAGTGTTTCAGAAACAACTTACTAATCCAACCTTTAACATAAAACATGTTTGAATGTTTGCATGTACAACTTTGGAAAATGCAGAGAAATAAAAGAAAAGAGAAAAACAAACAAACAATTCAATGAAACTGAAACATTTGCCAGACAGTACAGACAGTACTCTATACACAAAAAGACAACTTCATCAGGAGCTATACAGACCGTGGCACACAAGTCTCTCATGGGAAATATAATCTAATAATAATTATTGTAATGTATGAAATGTAATGTTTGCTGATACCTTCCATACAAATATAGCAAACAATCTGTAAAGTGACAGTAAAGGAGTGAACTTAATGGAGAGATGAGGAGGGAGAACCAGGCAGAGCACTTGGGCTGGGGATAATGCTGCCCACTTCTCGGAAGCTGACTCCTGTTGGGCACCAATAGACCCGCTGCCCTTTGGTCACACAAACACTGGCCAGAGTGAAGCGCCATCGAGCGCTAGGTTAGGATATGGACAGCAGATGTCAGGGCGTGGAAATGGGGCTTCAGATGGTTTGGGAAGAAAGAAGCCATGATACCACAAAACACAATTTAAGCTATAGCCACCAAGGCCTGGCATGTGAACGGTGGAAGAGCCGCAGACAGGGAGGCAACAGAGGAAGAGAAGGAAGAGCGCTGTTGGGTTATTATCGAGGGGCGGGTTCTATAAAGGGACCAGTGAACACAATGGAAACATATAGTATACTGTCACACACACACAGTCAGAAGGGCGTTATTAGAGCTTGTACATTCGTAACATTAGAACATAATGTCCGTGCTGCAGAATTCTTCTCACTACTAATGTACAATAATACTGCACTTTTACCAAAAGCTGTTAATTAATAAATGTATTATTTTTTGTTGTCAGGGTTGAATCCCCTGCAATGTTAAATGAGTTTCAAATAAAATATTCCATTAATGTTTCCATTTACATGTTGAGCATAGTCTGATTATGACTCATTCAACATTACGTCCACTACTTAATTACAGTAAGTTCCTGCTAGAATATTAAAAAAACCCAACCTGAGATAACTGCATGCAGTATGCTGCCATATTCACTTTCCAATGTTTTCTTTCACATTTTTTAAAGGCTTCAACTCCTCCAGTCCAGCCGGATTCTTTAATGTGATTAACATGTTTACATGTATACATAATGACACAAAGGTTGTGATACTACTAATTTGATTATTGATTTTTCCAAACATGATTATTCCAATTAAGGTAAGAAAGTACAGTTTATTCAGACTATTGTCTTTATCTGGTTTATATCAAAATAGTGGTAAAGGGTACAGTTAATATGGATCCTACTGCAGCTTCATTGTATGGCAGTGACACTGACTGGGTTTCCGATCATACAAACGGGGCTTCATGGTCCTGAAGGAAACATGAAAGGCAAACTGCATTGTTAAGCTGTATCTAACATTAACTGCCATTTTCACTGACACAGCTGAACCAGCCTTGGTGCCTGTGGTGGCGCCATCTGTCACTTCTCATCCATATTTGTAAGAAGATAGGTGAGGTTTTGATAGCCGGGGCATATTTGAGTAAAATACCACTTTATACCACTTCCCCAAACAAGAACTGGAAATCTCAACATCCCTTAAAGCACATGAGGGTGGGGAGGGGGGAGGGTATTTAAGTGTTGGATGAAAACATGGCTAACCAACAATAAGTAGGGCTGCCGACCAGACGCAGATTCCTAAGTCAGCAATAACACTGCTTCCTATCAACCACACTATAATCTCCAGCTATGTATCTGAAACATGATCGCTGTGGTATGAGAGATGGAGCCGGACCACTGTACCTACTGGCCGCTATGAATGAAAGAATGTTATGTTTGTGTACATAATAATATTCCTCTGACACATGAGAGTGGGTTTCTACTGTAACCTCACACACTCTGGGAAGTATGGCACCACATAACAAGATAACTAGCGCTCGCTGAGCCTGTGGGCATGCAGGCAGATGCCACAGTGTGGAACTGGGACCTCAAGCAGCTTTGGACTCACGTTACAGTGATTTGACACAACACCACTACATCCAGGCACATAACCGCCGCTCTCCGGGGAATGTAAAGTACAAACACCCCAGAGCTGAAACTGTTTTTTTGGAAGGATAGCGATCTGATACAACCGTGAGCACTAACTAACAAGCCTTAGGATGCAACTGCAAAAGGAGGACAGATATAAATGTTCCACATGAGTGACCAAACTGATTTAGGACTTGTCCGAACACATGGGGCCCCAAATGCTTGTGGATGCATGTGTGAGTAAAACGCCCTGCAGACCCTGCCAGATACTGGCCACGAACCAGTGAACACTGGAGGCAACGGCCAGATATTCAAACTGAATGGAAGCTTTGTTACGACTCCGTCATTTAGTGTGACACTTCATCCGCTGTTAGCTGTTTTGTTTGAGAGCAGCATTTGATTTTTGATTTTTTTCATTGATGACTTGTAGACATTTGGCTGCTTTGACGACAGTATCAGTCAACACTGAGGCGACATTAGCCAAGAGAGTTTGCAATTTTGTGGAGAACCAAATATGAGGATGCATGCTCTGTAGGCAAAGAAGAAACACAAATTGTTTTAGGATTTTAGGATGCCTTGGAGCTAAAATACATTTTGGCTTTACAGTAATCTATAAGGACCAGAAGCATTGAAGGAAGCAATGAAGCAAAGAATCAAATTAATCTTTGTTACCTTTGACATTATTTTTCTTCCTATGTGTGGCCCCTTCTTTTAAATACCACAGACCAACAATCCAAAGAAGTAAAGTCCTGTGGCGTCACTCTCTGGGGGTGCGGCCTCTACATTGCAGGCCTGACCACAGTAGCCACATCAAATCATCAATATTACAGCAGTGGTTTCCTAGTAGTTGAACACATATCATGTGTGTGTGTGTGTGTGTGTGTGTGTGTGTGTTTGTGTGTGTGTGCTGTCACATGGTAAACTCGCTGTGGTCACAGTGGTGACCAATGGCACATTAGCGATGGAAGCAGCAGCCATCAGCTGTTAAAGACTGGGAAAGTTGTTTATGTGGTCAGAGAATAGTTTGAGGATAACAGCTAAAACATTTTAAGTCAAATGGGGAGTTTGGGAAATTCAATTTGCAGTGGTTCTTCTTTTCTTTCTAGGGAATTCTGCCTCAAACAAATAATCTATAAATACAGTTATGTTGAAAAATCTGGCAATACTGAAGTGGGAATATCATTTTCACAAAAATTGATTTTAGGTGTTTCGAGACTGTAATGTTATTAAAGGAGTTTTGTTTGCGCTACGATCAACTCATGCTGTTTTAATGTGTTTGGGGATATAGTCAGCAGTACACACATGATGAACAAGAACACTGAATGAATAGAGCAGTCAGTCAGTGTGAGGACAGTATGAGGTCAAATGTTTTGGAAATTCCTCCACAGACACAAAAATAAATTTGGTTTATCTTAAAAAGACTAATGTCCAAGACCTAACCCTTGACTTAATGAAGAAGTTTTACATTTGCTGGTCTAAAATACACTTGGTGCTATATGTCCACTTGATGGTCTCCTCACATAAATAATCCAGGATCCAAATGTTTACTACCTGAGCTTGTTCCTTTACTTTTGAATGAAAGCACTGATACTCCTGATAGCTGACGTACTTCACAAACAGAATTCTCAAAGTTTTTTCTTCTACCTCTGCTGGACAGGAATGTAATTTAAACAAGACAAAATTAATCAATAAAACAGGGACAATTGCTACTGTCCTCATATTAAAATGTCTCCTTATTTTCTTTTATCATTACTTTTTAGATATTTCTGACTCCTGGCCTCATTTCGTTTGTACATCTTTAAAGATAAAAACATCACTCTTACTCTTCCTTATCTGTCTTGTGTCCTTGTGCACACACACAAAGATGCACAGACACCTTACATAATGGACATAAATTGACGCAAACAATTTAACAGGTATACTTTGCTAATGTATAGATATCTTTTTTAAATCTGGAAATGCATGTTTAATGTGGCCCTGCAATAAGCTAGTGACCCAACCAGGGTGTACCCCGCCTCTCGCCCAATGTCAGCCGGGAGTAATCTGGCACATTACACATTTTGCTACTTAAAAAAAAATCTTACACTATGCCAGTGGTATTAAAGGTTGTCAGCCAAGAGTCGGAAACTTAGACTCACAATACCCTGATGCAAGTGTATAAATTGACGAGTAAATCCCTGTACTCTGAGGTTCAGTCGAAACAGTTAGATACAAAGTTATTTCTTATGATTTATACACAATAAAGGTTAAAAGATGATATTACATATGGCAGGCAGATAACTCCAAGTAGGAATAGTCAGTTTCTGTACCTGTACCTTATTTATTGCTATTTTACAAAAGCTGAAATGTTTTCTTTCTGTTTTAAGACCACTGAGATCTTAATTAAAATTAAACAATTTACCACCTTAAATAAATGAAACATGTCAAGAAAACCGACATGAATGAACCAGAAAGCTGCAACAGACCAGTTTTGTATTTTGACCATTCCAGTCCTCCAAAGACAACCAGAGAGACAGTGACATACAACAGAGAGCCAAAACAGAACCAAAACCAAACAAACCTTTACATGTCTTTGTCTCTGGAGTAGCAGTTTGACGTAACCATGAGTAATAACACAATCTCTGTGCCAAGGGCAGCCACAAGGTCCCAACATGTGTGTGTTTTAACGGCAATACATTAAAAAAGAGCAGCTTTCATTCGGGGTTCAGGACACGTAGGGCTTTCGTGACCACGGGGGCTTCAACAAAGACAGCTGACGCAATGGTCTATCAAGGTTTCTGAGTCTTGGATCTCCACAGGCGACATTCACACTCCTCACGAGTTGACGTGATTATAACACAGAGCTCAAAGAAGCCGCGCTGCTTTTATTTGCAGGTGGTTTTAGGACTGTAACACTGGAGGGAGTGTGATAAGAAGAGTTACGGTTGGGTGTTGCTGACTGTGAATTTCGATGGTGGTTCCACTTTCTCAAATCATGCTGCCTTTGCACCGAAAAAATTCACACACTACCAAGATGCAACAATGACGTTATTTTTGCGTTTTAAAATGTCTTTCATTTTGCAGAAATCACACAGATAAATAGTGAGCGCAAAGCACAAAGCAAAGAAATGAAGCATCTTAAGAGAATGGCCTATTTTATATAACAAGTTGAAATTTAGGGAAATTGGGAAAACAATCTGTTTGTGGTATTGCATAGTGGCCAGTTTTAGGGGAGGGAGCAGCACTGAGGTTTGTTGTAAAATAAATAAATTAGAGTTGTTTTCAGCATCTACTGCACAGTGGCCTGAAAAACTGAATACAAGGAGATACAAGCTTTTGATTTCAGTTCAGCTCAGTTCTATTTTTACATTATAAAGATATAATCACTGGAGTAATTACAATGCTTGTGTTATTTCAACCCGCTTATATTTGTACTCCTAAAATCCTAGACAGAGCATCTTGATTAATGCGTTTTACTTAGCTTCTATTTTAGATTTACTGACATAAGAACTAGACACTATTTAAGATCTATTGGGCATTATTTTTCAAAACAGGCTTTAAATCTATTATATTTTACACACTTTTAGTTTTACATTTAAAACCACACTCACTTCAGGTTTATACATCTCATGTGTTAGCACTGCAGGCAATGATGAGCTGTGTAATTGTTTTGTTTGACCTTAGCGCAGAGGTCAGAGGTCATGCTGCTGTCCTGCCAATGTGACATCAAATGAAAAAAAGCTCTTTATCATTTCATCTCATCTACAAAGTGAGATTTTCTGACACTTGTGTGTGAAAGGAAGTCCGGCTCAGCGAACCAAGAAACCAAACCAGTGAACAAGCTTCTACTTATTTACGTTTGCAGGTGGGTTTAGCTGCGCTCCTGGTCAGACAAATTTCCATCTGCCCTCACACAGGTCAGGCCAATCATTCAGGGATGGTAGTATAAAACAAACATGGTGCTATATAGAGAAGAAAACAACTGCACTTATATTGTTGATACACTATTGCTCAGGTGGGTTGTACAACCATCCAATAGCATCCAGAGGCATTGTGCGACCAGTGATCATGCCCCTCGAAAATCAAAGATGAACTGATAGGTTCCAAACTTATTTGCAAAGACAGGCGACAGCTCAGCACTCTCTCCCCACATACCAGGCAACTGTTCTCATTAACATTAACTGTAGAGACAGCACTGAGGGAGTGTGTATGCTGTTTAAAGCTGCGTTGGTAAATTACATAAGAGCATAGATTCAGAAACCAGTATTAGAGCAACAGATGGCCTTCATTCAAAAACATTTCAAACTCAGCCATAATGTGACAAAGCTAAACTACACAGAGACAAAAGCATATCCTCTAAAAAACACACTCCAACAGTAAATATTTCAATCTGGTCCAATGGTGAGTATTTCTGTCTGCTATATTTGCAGCCATGCCTCCCACACACTAACTTACCTTTGTGATCTTTGGATGGGTGCAGCGGCTGTTTCCAGAGGTGGCGTGCATCCACCCTCCACCTTCCAGCTGCAGCGGGAGGTGGGAGTTTGCTCCGCCATTACACTCCTGCCTGAGGGAGCACTTCCTGTCCACGACACACCAGCCACACTCAAACCTGGGGTCAGCCTTCAGGCACATACCGCAGCTGTCCCGCAGCGCTCTGCACTTGTAAAGATGAGCTGGTTGAGAGACAGAAAGAGTGGTTGAGACACAGATAGAATATAAGTTGTCATTTAAACTCACATGAAGCAATGTATTCTGTCAATGTGCAGTTTATGAGATCTTCCCAGGGATTGAGAGTTTTTATAATATGTTTCAAGTCAATTCAATTGTATTTGTGCAGCAAAAATAGTAGAGAAACCAATTCCCACAATGTGCAAACACTTGTGGAAAGAAAAAACTTGCTCATTAACTGAAAGAAACCCTGAGCAGAACCAGACTCATTGTGGGCGGACATCTGCCTCGAAGGCTTGAGATGAGCCCAGAAAAATGGGGAGGAGAGGAGGGTGGAGAAGAGGGGGAAAGACCAGGAACACTTGTGGAACCATCATGTTTCAGCCCTGACACACTAGTTGTTATAATGAAAAGACACAGAGTGATAACAATGGATGTAAAGATGTTATTGATGATAGCAGCAACAATTCATACAACTGTAATCTTAATTGAAATGCATAAACTAAAGTAACAATCTGCCTTTTTTATTCTACTGGAGAATTCTCATTTCTGATAAACATAAAGTTCTCTAAGTTGTTAATTGAAAAAAGGCAAGAAAAAAGTAATCAGGCTCCTATGTGCCTGTGAGTGAGAGAGCGAGCACAGGACCAGCATAAATGAATGTTAATCACCTACACAACACCTAAAACCACTCTGACAACGAGAGAGTAACTCCACAGATAAATAGAGAGAAAAAATTAAAAAACATGAACAAGCGACCTAGAGGGATATTACAGATATTAATTCAACAGGTAATGTCTTCTCACGCCAACAGGGAATTGATAATTTGTTGTGTGTAAAAATGTTCCCTAAACTCTGCAGAGTGGAAAAAGTCATTAAAAGTGAAAAAAAAAAAATCGATATATAATTAAATAAACATAAATAAATAATTAAAAGCTCAAACACCTGAGAAGTGAGAGGAGAGGGAGATGAAACAAAACAGGGAAGAAGGGGAGGAGGATTTTTAGCTGCGCTTGTTAACAAAACAGCTACAAGAATTGTTATGAATTTAAAGATGGTGAGGCCCCGCGAGGCCGAGGGATCAGAGGAAAGGGAGGAAACTGCCAGAAAGAGGAAGGGAGGGAGGGAGGGAGAAGTTTAGAGAAAATGACAGAGAGAGAGAGATGAAAAGCAATCTTAACCCACACACAATCTGAAAAACAAACAGAGGAGAGGAAGTCGCATCCAGACGAGAGCATAATATTCCGGTGAATGGCGAAGTTCTCTTGAGTTCTGTTTTGATACCATTTGTCATCTGTTAATCTGTATCATAATTAACTCAGTTGATTCTCTGTTGCCTAAACCTGCAGGCAGGTTTGTTTCCCGTCACACCAGTTAAATAGATTTGAAATGAGCTAAAGTGGAAAAACAGATGCATGAAAAAAAAAAAAAAAAAATACCAACAACAACAGAGCATGCGAGAATCTCCTCCCTCCACCTCCTCCCCGGCAGACATACGGCGGCCGGACTTCAAAGCGAGCTTCTCTCGGATCCATCTGCCCGCCTCGGCCCTTCGCTCGCTCTAATCTGATTAGCCACGGCTCGTCTTAAAAGTAGCGCGACGCTAATTAATCTGAACCAAATGAATGATTTAATTAACATTAACATCTCCACTTTACACGGGGGCAAAATCGGGTCAGCGCAGTGCGGCTCTGCCTCAGACGGATAATGCTGCTTCTATTCAGAGAGAAAAAGACGGGGGAGGGATTAATAGGGGATGGAGAGATAAAGGAGGAGAAAAGGAGGAGAAGGTCTTTATGAGATTTATGAGTGAGGATGGTTTCATAATACAGAGTTTTAGACCTTCAACACTAAGCATAGAATTGAATTTTCTAATCATAATGGGTATTCTGAGAGGCTTGAGACAAAGTAGCCATAATATATGTGGTGGGGAGTGATAGTGTTGTTGATTCATTCTAACTACTCATCCATAACCTCGCCAGCTGTTTCACAAGTCTGTCTTTGGCTTCTTTTGAGGAACACGCCATTGGCCTATGATGCTGCCTGCATAAATTCCCTGCCATGTAAAAGGTCAAGCAGCAAGTACTCATAGTCAGAACAGCAGGAACATGCTTGTCACACACACACACACACATACATACACATACACACACACTGCACTGCCTCTAAGATCACTGGATTTCACACACTCCAGCTCGACACCATCCTGTCACATGTGAGGCGCTCTCCGCAGCACACATCCCTGGGGCGAGTGCTTCTCTATAAAACCTCATGTAAGAGAGAGGGATGCAGAACGCCCTGTGATGACTTTTTGTCAAAGTCTTCCAGATAACGCATGGTAACTTGAAAAACAAAATTGCATCATGGTACATAAGGGTGCCACGGATTTCATCACAGCTCAGTGTTCAACTCAACAGTGAGCTGTGTTTATTTTTTCTGTTGGTAAATTAAAGACAGCAAAGGTTGAGAAAATCATATTTTAAACCATTATCTGGATAAGGCTGCATTTTTACTGTTTAACGTGTAAATCCTTAAAAAAGGCAGAAGGTCACTTTTGTACAGTTACACCTGCAGTTATACAACAACTGAAACTGAGGGTGATATGAACTAAGCCTGTCACTAACACTGCGAGGCCTACAACACCTGGTAACACCTAACCATGTAGGTATAATCTCTCTAGTACGTATAATGTTGACCACGTTCATCATCTTTCGAGCATAGTCCTCGCATCACAAACACAAACTACAGCTGAGGTTGACTGTTACACAAGTATGTGTTTGATGTATGCACATTTTTGTGTGTTTATTTGTATATAAAAAAGTTCTAATATTTGTACAATCCATTTTGAAATCCAATCACAAATTTCTATGGACAGACGGGTATCTCTGCACAGTTTAAGAGTTTGGGTGATGGACAACCTGCTTCATCAGCGCACAACAACTATCTCAACTTCATCATCACA